TATCCGTCCTTTATGAGTAGGAATGGACGGGTATCAACCACCCACCCACGCTTTACCTGCGCACTTACGTATGGTGAGACGATTCCCGATTTCGGGGACCGAAGCAAAACCCGGTCCCCTGTAGATTTCGGTCAGTTGATCATATATTATACACGGACGCATCGATCTTAGACTAACATCGTATGCCGCCTGTACACGCACGGAGGTGCTAAGAGGTGTGATGTTGAGGCAATATGACACCTGTGTAGGTACATCATACGGACATAGACCTACCTACTTGATAGTACATGCACACATACTACATACATACATACATCCCACACGGTAAAAAGGGGAAGACGGGTGGGAGACAGAAATAAAGAAAAATAACCAAAAACCCCCCTCACAAATTTGCGGACAAGATCGTCGTCATCTAACCTTCTCCGTGTCATCCGGATTGGGTGGTGGGGTTCCCCCTTTTTCTTTCTTCATCAGAAGTGCGGGGACCCGAAATGGTCTGAACAGTTCGCAATGTTGGCCTCTACCCCTGATCCTTGCCGGGATCGTCGCATAGTATCCAAGATGTCGGTTATCTCCCCATGTCTCGAAGAGGTAGGAGTGTATGAGTACGAGTATTGGCGGATGACTAATTTTCCCGTCGCCTGTTCTCTTCTTCTCCCCATTCTTTCTCTTCCGGTATAGGGAGTTGGTTTACCCTGGGGAGTTTCGCTGGTTTTTTTTCTTCTGTTGTTGTGTGTAGTATGCAACTCCTTCCTGTGTGCGTGCATATATGTAGGTATATCACCACCTGATCCGATTGACGCTGCTGAGGTACCGCGAATATCGCAATACACACCTACATATCTCATCCTAACGTGGTAGATGACTTACCTGTCTGCTGGCCGTGCATGTATTGGTACCATGGGTGGTGAAGGTGTGTGTGTGTGTGTGTGTGCACATATAAGAAGAGCCGGGAATTCAGGGCGTGCTTATGAGTTCGAGATGGTACGGCCTTCTAGAACCACGGAAGAATATGTGTATCAGCGTATGTCTAATACCTGTCTGTATGCGCATACCCTACGGACATACATGCTAAGTAATGCGTGTGTGGATGCTTCTCGCCAAGCTTCTGCAGTCGATAGACTTCCGCGCGGTTGGCTTATCCACTTGAGCAACTCTCCCTGCCTTGGATCGTGGTGCATTCTGGCGTGGGTTCATGGGTGGGTTTTATCACAGCACCATCCATAACACAACACCCGCGTTGCAATGCATGCACGCACATCCTGAGATGTGTAGAGAGAGAGAGGGAGAGGGAGAGGGAGAGACAGGGACAGGGAGACATATATACACACAAATATACGCAAATACTACTACATAACGTACACCACGCGCACACTCTGTCATGTGAACATATATGCACGTACGTAGGTACACATTATACAGGTACAACACAGCTGTCTCGGGCACCTGATGCGATGGAATGTATACACCGGGTATGCGTACCTGGTATATAGTGTGCACATCCTTTGACAGTATTAGGTTAGGTGCTGGAAAAGGGATGCCACGGAACCTGATCCGCCCACCTTTTGCCAGCCTAGCAGCGTATCTGCGCGACACATGGGCATCCAAACTAGTTGCGTCAAGCTGATTGACGGACCGTCCAATAGCGACCGGATTCCCCTGCGCTGGCATGCTGGCCCGCTGTCAAGACGAGGTCAAAGCGTACAGACTGTCGCGAACGCAGAAATATGGCTTGCCTGGAAAGGGTGATTCCGTCGGCGAAGACAACGCGAAAATCCGGCCCTCTTCGAGTTCGGATGGCGACACCGATGCTCGCCCTCTCTCACCTCTCACCTCTTACTCCTCCCACCACGGCCGCCCATTCTTTGTCCATGTATAGGCATGAGACGTAATAGGGGCTACTAGGAGAGGGGAGGGGGGGGGGAGGGACTTGGAGAGGGAATGGGTTTTCTTGTTCTCGTTAGTGCCGTGGCCGCGTCTCATGCGGCCGCCATCGTGGTCGGCCTCAACCTACATTAGATGGTCCACGGCATTGTGATAGGAGGAAAGTAGCGGTGGATGACTTCCCCCTTTTGCTTCGCCGGGAACTTTGGCGTGCCCGTCGAGACTATTGGCGGTTTACGTCAATATGTCCTATATATATATTCATTCACACGTTAGTCCGGGAAGACAGCCTCCACATTCGTTCTCGTATAACAGATTATCATCCGAACGGAGGAGTGGTGGCCGCAGAATTTCCGGGGAGGAGAGGAACCAGCTAAGCGCGACATTGGCAAGCCGGCCGGTAGAGGCTCCCGAGATGACTGGGATACCACGAGCTGTGACGAGGAAAGCGACGCTAAGAGGAGAAGCAACCGCAACAGTAACGATAAGAGACGGGCTCAGGTGTTCTCATTGTCCTCTCCGAGCACCTCCTACCTTAGGCACCTAAGGCAATGGCAATGTATCTACGACGATACGCACAGTAGTCTGCCCATCCGTCCGCCGTCCCTTCGGCCTATGTACGTACGCGGAATAGTCAACCCATCGCGCCCCTCTCTGGAACGACAAACTGTCGTCGTCGACGAATTGCCGCACATCTGGTTTATCTTTAATAGTGCCTGTCGCCGGCCTGCCCAGTACGCTAAGCTGGGTAACTATGACTTATTCGGTTGACCTGGGGGAAACAAGGCTGCGTACCCTGTCTGGGCTGTCTACCAATCGAGCCTGTCGCCGGGACCTTGTGCCCTGTCCCAGCGGTCCCTCCTCGATTCTGAAACTGTCTAGTCCTCTGCTAAATTCCAACACGCGAGATGCGATTGGGGTTTCTTGGGCGCCGTCACCGTTACCGCGACGCGGATAGTGAGCACTAATAAGCGAAGCCTCGGCTGAGGTGATCGAGTTGAGTGAGTATATACCATCGTGTAAGACGAGCACGCGCATTCATACTACACGTGCACACATGCATACATGCGTTCGGAAATCCAGGGAAACGCGGATGTGGCTTTGCGAACTGCTCAACCGTTACACACAAACGGTCCATAGCATGGCCATAGGCTTTTACATGCGACGTGCAGATGTGTGTCCGTACATACGTACGCAGGTAGGGATGTAGGGAGGGATGTAGGGGTGAAGGCATGTAGCCATTTACACCTGATACATACCTCTACAGACCTACAGAGGCCCCCCCTCCCCTCCCTATCCCCCCCGTTCAGCTCACGGGACCCGGCCCGGAGATAACGTCTCTCTCTCTATCTGCCTTGTCTACCTATATATCAGGTTGTGTCTGTCGGTAGGTACTTTCCTCCTGGACCGAGGTCCCATCTCCCCTGGCCTACGTCCCCGGCCTACGTCGCACTTGGGCAGGAGACCGCAGAGGCCGTCCGGAATTATCCATAGTAGCACTCAATATACCCTCATACGGCGAGAGCAGCGCACCCCGGTCGCGTCAGGCCGGCTGGTATCGGGAGACATGCCCATCTTATGCCGGGGCATATGCCTGACGATTTGGGGTTGGGGGTGTATCAGACGCCCAGGAATGCAACTTGCAAATTGTCTCGAGTTATTTGTCGACATTTCCCAGGTACTGGCTGTCTTGGGTGCCTACCCGCGCATGCAGCTACCTGTCCAAGAGGCAACGAATGGACGGATCACCACCGTAGTAATCACCATATCGCACATATCTACCACGTATATATCTTGCAGATCTGAGCAGGTTGATTGCTTGAGTAGTATATCTGCACGTACATATAGCCATATAGGTAAATATAGGTCCCAAAGCAGGCCTGTCGGGTATGCATACATGGATCGGTACCTGAAGTAGGTGAGAGAGGATACAGTGACAATTGGTAGCATCTCTCCCCCCTCCCTCCCCCAACGAACTCCCAGCACAGCCAGCACAACCTAGACGCTGTACATACCTACATACGATATATCACATAAGTGCCCGCGGCATGGCTTATTCGGATGACACGCATTGCCTAAGAATAACCATAATCGTTACCTATCTGGGTTGCCAAATGCCCTCTTGCATAGTTGTATGGTCGATAGGAGGTGTCTGAGGTTATGGGGGGGAGGGGTTATTTGCATGCCTGTATCGCCAGGTCGTCTGTCTTCTCTGCCGTAACCCTGTCCTGGGGTACCTTCTCTAGATGCTGTACATCCTGCAGTCAGTAGGTTAGGTACCTCGTAGTGGACCTGGGCGTATATACAGCTGGAGAGGGACCTGTAGAGGTACCTGCTATACCGCGGGTGCCGGGGCGAGGAGATGGATGTACATGCCTGACTTGTACGCAGGAGGTGTGAGTATACTATACGTAGGAGGTACTGTCCATCCATTACACACATTTATATGTACATACAGGTAACGTGCATATGCATGTATGTACATGGGTGCGGGTGGGTGTGCAGGTACCTCCCATCCGTAGGTACCTCTGTACAAGCCTCCTTTCCCGCATGCGCCTTGTCCAGGTGGTGCGGGTTGCTGCTGTCCCCTAGCGCCGTCTTGTCCGCTCTTAGTAGGCTCAGTGACGGCGCTGCTCCATCATTCATTACTCGTTCGTTCGTCCTGCTCGCCCTCCCTCCTGACCAACGCCCTTTAACTTGCCACCCCATCCGTCGACCCGGTTGGCCCTGTCTCTCCTCTGTATATCTCGTCACCAATGGCCAATTGAGGACCACGATCTGAGGAGAGGGAAAAAAAAAAGAGGAAGCCCAGGAGAAGATCCTCAAGTACCGCCGGCAAGGCCCGTCTCTCCCCCTCTCTCTCTTTTTATTTCTCATTCTCCTGTCTTGGGCTTCGCCTCTTATTACTTCCGTGAGACGGCGTCTTCTGCCTTGCTCGCCTGTCTTGGCCCTATTACCGCCTTTCAAATATGCCGCTTTAATATTTAATGAACGAAGCCGATTCTCCTTCTGATCTGCCGCCAGCTCTGCGCCGTCCGACAGGCTCAGCAGCAGCAGACTCCCACCATATCCCCCAGTCCACGCCGTAGCGACGACGACACTTTCCGTCCTCGAATATGGAGGGTACCCTGCTCGTCCCCCCGGATCGGGGTACTATCATCGGGAGAGCTGCTTGGAAGGTAGGCCTCTCTACTGTCGGACGCGGAACCCTGTCTCGCACGTTCTTCGTTTGCTAACAGGTGGATTCTTCTATAGCCACGCTACCTCGTCGTCGGTCCGCAGAGAGATGCCTCGCAATCGAACCTCAGCTTCTCCCAAGTCCTGTCCGCTGCCCGTATCAAAGACCCTATCAACCGCCCGAAGCCGCAGCCGAGGGTGCTATCGGACGCCGTCTACCTCTCGATATACAAGGCGAAGGTAGGAGGTTCTTGCAACATGCCGGCTACACCGTGTTCGAAATGCTTATCGCGCTCTAGGATGATTGGGAGCTGGTCCAGCAGCACTCGATCACGTCCGTAACCGAATGCCAGGTCCAGACGGTCTCCCACCGGAAGCAAGGACCGGCGGTCCCGACCCTCGCCGTCCAGGTCTTGCCAGATCCTGCCACCGACAAGCTACGAAAACGCCGATCTAGTCGGACGGCCGGCTTGACCACGACCAAGGAATCGGGTCCGACGACGTTATGGTTTCGTCTCGGTGATGACCGCACGTACACGTTAGAGGACTGGGCCCGATGCATAAAGCTGCTGATACATCCCGAAGGACAACTTGACCTCAACAGCAGACAACCCATGAGTCCCATTAGCCCGGTCTCTCCAACATTTATAAACCCTTTCGCTCCCTCTCCATCTCGAGATGCGAACGACTCTTTTGCTGGCGCGTCGAGTGGCAGTTCGGCCAAGACGAGAGCGAAGATGCCGGGGCGGCCTCCGAGTCACGCGCATGCACCGAGCCGAGACGGCAACGCCACCTTCACCACTGGAACCCCCAGTATACGCTCCCAGCGGAGCGACATGTCGTCTTCGCACGCTAGTTCGATGGTCCCTCTATCCACCGGACATGCGACGCAGCAACACGCCGCCGTTCGGTCCTCGGACCTTCCGTCCCCTGCGACCACGATTGCTGAGTATCAGGACCAATTTATCGAAGGGTGGACGTCAGCACAGGGTCGCGCATCAACTCTGAGCTCGCCGATAAGGCTGAGGGAGAGCACCAGCTCTGCCCAAGGTCAGTATCTGCCGAGTATCAGCTCGAACTCGCCCCCCGCACCCCGAGAAACGATTCTGGACAGGGCCTTCCAACTGCGATGCATCCCCGGCTCGGACCGTGAAGTGCCCGGAGAAGAAAAGCTCAGCTCTCTAGCCAGGTTTGAGGCGCTGATGCGAGAAGTCGAAGAGCGCCAGAAGGACCTTGACAAGGACAAGATGAAGACGATTAGTAAGGAGCCGCTGAAAAGCACATGGGAAGAAGAAAGCGATGAAGAGGACCAGGTTGACGAAGATGATGACAGCGATGCAGACGAATTCGAGCACGACATAGGCACCGATGAGATCGCACCCTCTACGCAGAGGGCGCTTCAGTTCATCGCTAATCGTCACAGTTCCACGAAGCTGCAGTGGTCGCAGGGTAACAGCAACGAACCACTCCCCAACTATCAAGACAGGGGTGCATCCATTCTCCGACCACATACCGCCAATTCGAGATCGAGGCCCACCGCCCAGCGGACCAGCAGCCAGCCGTATATTCCTTCGGGGTCGCTCGAGATGCCCCCTCCACCTCCCCCTTCCTCCCGAGTCATTGAGGAGGCGACCCCGCGGCGGAACCACGAGAAGCGCCACTCTACGTCGGATGTTAAACGTCTTAGCTTCAACGAGTTTACCAAGCGGCTGAGTGGCACTAGCAGCCTCTTGCTCGTTCAGACGAATGCGAGCAACGGCGGTGGCCGGGGGAGCGGCGATGTCGATGGGACCTCTCTGCAGGCGACGCCACCGCGAGGCGGGCCTTTCTCACCGAACGAGCGAGATGAGCGCTGTCGATGGCGGGGGAGTGTTGGCGTGTTCGGCACCGACCAAAGTGGTTTCCTATAAAACACCAATCTCTTTTTCGTTACGTATTTGATTCCCGAGGTCCGCTCCGTCGGCGACAGGACCCGGCCGGCGAGGTACGGCCTCATCCTTGTATTTTGATACCACCTTTCGCATGTTACGACCCGTCACGACGATCCCTCACGTGCCCGCTCAGCAGCACGACGCTATGATCTCCAGACGTACGGAACACGACAGCCCTATGCATATCGGCGCGCTCAGTGATTTGGAGGGGGTTTGAATTACGCGGCGAAGTTTGAAGACATTTATTCTTGGACGAGGATCTGGTCACGATTCTAGGCTGTGAAGGCGAATCTACTGATATCCATCGATGTTTTTATTAGCAAGTAAAAGGACAAAGAGAGGGAGAGAGCATTTGTTTTTTTTTTTTCCCCAGAACCGCGATACCCTTGGACATACGAATATAAATCTTTCGTGCATATGTCCGAGCCTGGAATGTTGTCCCTCCCCACCGCATCGTTTCGTGATGTCCCGCCTCGTCTATTCTCACATCCCCTTACTAATTGTCAGCATAGGGAGAGGCTGCGCATACACAAATTCCCTAGAATCACTGTCGCTTGCCTGACCTCCCGGGCAGGCGAAAACTGATGGGTAGATCCCTGGTTGTCTAATTCGCAATATCTTCTTTATCGATGACATAGCATTGCGAACATGCATACCCACGTCGGCTTCCAGCCATCGTCCCCCTTTGCCGTCTCCCTCGCTCCCGGTCTTGACGCAAACGTGGGGTGGAAATATAGGGGATGACGATGTGACCCTTCGGGCCGGTCATGTTCAGATTTTTTACCCGGCCGATAGCGCCATGCCTATAATTGCCCCCGTTCTCCCGTTGCGTCTAGGATCTAGGGCCGGCAGCCGTACCTATCTATACGTAGCTACGACGGATAGGGGTAGTATACAGCAAGCCGTCCGGCTGGTGATTAACCGGGTTGAGTATGTACGCCTATCCCGGAAACTGGGCGGCTTGGGGGGGGGGATACTGGCTCACTCCTATACCGACCCCTCCCCGGTCACATTATTACCACTACTATTATTATTATCATTATGACGAATATTGCCGTGGCCCAGGGTCTCCGTACCAGCGGCGGCCATGCGGAGGTGAAATACGGCTGCCCGTATGAGGCTGTGGTCTACTACGGCCGCTCCAGCGAATCATGTTACCTACCTGTCGCGTACGCTCAAGGCGATATTACCTGGCGGCCGACGGAGATACCGCTTGGCTCCCGTATTGGCCGGGTGGGACGCCTCAGGCAACTTGGAGGCCGGTGAGAGACCTCACATCTGACGCCTTGCAAGCCACGTACCTCCCTACCCTAGGCCAAGTATGGGAACGCTTACAGAACATGAAGATAGAGTTCCTCTCCCGCTCCGCCTCTCTCTCTCTCTCTCTCCTCGTCCAGTCTCGTCTTCTCGGAGATATCATCGCGGCTTTGCTGATTGGGCAGTCCCTTGCCTAAATTTAGCCTAGATAGCTCCTCTCACATACCCTGTAATATTAGTAGGCAGGTATGCATGAGGCATGATCTTATGCGGCGTGCCGCCGTGGATGACATATGCTTACGGGCAGGCGGCCACGCCTTGAACGGCGGCCCTAGGGCTGTGCCATGTGGGAAAGGGGAGCTGATGGTTGGCCGGGCTAATTACCTACCTAGGTACCTTAGGTACTTAAGGCAGGTTAGGTAGTACCTTTGGGCTTGGGCAGGTTAATTACCCTAGGTTAGGTACCTGCCTAGGTATGTACCTCCTAACTTATAGGTACCTACACCTATGCTAACCCGTCCGGGATCAATAACCCAAGTACCTACCTCTGCCCTAGGAGGGTACCTGGATAGCATCCGGCAGCGTCGAAAGCAGACGCGATGCGCCGCCCAGAGTGAATCCAGATCCGAGGTAGGGTTCCCAAGCAGGGGGACTCCTTCGGGCTGTGCTTACCTGCCTGTATATTTTATATTTGCCCAGCTTCTTCTGCTGCCCTTGTCAGCACCCAAGTACCATCGCCCATGTGCTCCACGGGGGAATAGGTGTTGAGATACTTCACCTCAACTCCTCTTCTCGTCTACCTTGTACATCCTGTCCCCTCGTCCCCTGTTGCTAGCCTCGCCCTCTCCTCACTCCTCTTCTCCCGCGCAAACACCCGGATCCTGCCAACATCGTCATCGCTTGCCGCCGTGCTCGATCCCGGATAGCCGATCAACTCTCTTACATCTCCCTCAGTCTCGCCCTCAAGCTCCGTCCTGTCGCCGGGCCCTTTGGCTCAGCTCCAGGTCCCAACATATAACAGGGTGCCCGTCGAGCTGCAGCCCGGATGATGCCGGGCCTCCGAGCGCGGCGTTCCGGCCTGGCACTACATCCCGCCTTCTACATCGCGTAAGACCCTCCCTGCGACGTAGTAGCGAACTGACCGCCGAGCGTGTGGGTTGCTAAGCCGCTGCCGTGAGGTAGGAGCTGGATCTTCTTCTCGAACATCACCATCCTCTTCAATAAATGGCTGATCGACGACGCCGGCTTCCGTGAGCACTCCCCTATACACTCTGCGTTGCAGCAGGCTTCTACACGGGCTGCCTCGCTGACCATCCCTTCTCAGGCTACCGCAAGTCCTATCCGCGAACTCGATGTGTCGCACGCGCCTCTCTCTAACCTCGATCAATAGCTGTGATACTGACATGGTGGCACATGACCTTCGCCACTATGGCGACCCAGGTGCTGGCCCGGACCACGAGCCTCCTAGATGGCCGCCATAAGGTCAAGATGACCTCGAGGTTATATGTGCGGGTTATTGTTCCCATCGGCCTCCTGTACTGCGGCAGCCTGGTCTCCAGCACTCTGGTCTATCTCTACCTGAGTGTACCCTTCATACAGATGTTGAAGGTTAGTCGGTGACGGTGCTCTTCCCGCTTCGTTGATATTTCGAAATAACCATACTAAATATGCCGTGCAACCCACGTATAGGCTGCGGCACCGGTAGTTACCCTCCTAGTCGGCTGGCTCTGGGGCGTTGAACACCCGACTTTGGCGACGTTCGGTAAAGTCTTGCTGATCGTCGTGGGCGTCGTGATGGCGAGTGCAGGCGAAATCCACTTCTCCTGGCCGGGCTTCTTCTACCAGGTCGCTGGCATCCTGTTTGAATCACTCCGCGTTATCATGATACAGACCCTGGTGTCGGGGGAGGGGCTCAATATGGACCCTCTTGTCAGTCTCTATTACTACGCCCCAGTTTGCGCCGTCGCCAATTCCGTTCTCGCTCTCGTCTCCGGGTGGGACTCGTTTGAATGGTCGCATGTTGTCGAGGTTGGGTTCGGGGTGCTGTTGCTGAACGCTCTTGTGGCATTCCTGCTAAACGTCTCGAGCGTTCTTCTGGTAGGTCACTGGGGATTCATTTCTACGGACGGACGCTGATTGGGTACTAGATTGGTAAGACGTCTGGTCTTGTCCTCGTGCTGACGGGGATTTTTAAAAACATCCTCCTTGTCGTTGTCGCAGTCGTGATATGGGGAACACCGGTAACCCCCCTCCAGATGCTCGGCTACGGTATCGCGCTCTTTGGCCTGCTCCTCTACCAGTCAGGCTGGCAGGACATAAACCAATCTTTGCGAGCCGGTATCACATGGGCAGGGGGGTTCTCTCGATTTAAGCTACTCGCGCAGAAACCCCTGCTTGTTGTGGCATCATTGCTCATAGCGTTATTGCTAGTCTATGTGTGGTCTATGAGGGAGCAACTACACGCGAGCTCACCGCACGCCACGGGGCCTGTTCGCGAAGCAGACCATCTCTCTGACAGTTGGTTGACGTGGCTACACGCGAATGGTCAACTTCGCAGTGGACGGGAGGCCGGGGCTGGTAGATGAGGGCCCGGGTAGCTGTGAAGACTTCAACGCTCCCTTGGTTGCGCTGTCATATTTCTGCGCCCTGCACGAGAGAAGATGATCTGGTATACCTACTGATGTTGTAGCCCCATAACGCCAGTTCGTGAGTTGAATGAACGCTTTCGTTTCCGCAGGTGTACGTACGTCCTCGTACGGGTGCACGTCACAGCTTCGCCTTCACGGCGGCCGCTCTCGCCTCCTCGGCCCTCTTCCTCTTGCGCTGGAAGCCCTCTATCTTATTAACCACCATTCCGGTCCAAATCTCGAGCCAGCTGTCGTCGAAGGGCGGCAGGACACGGCCCGTAGTCCCCGCGGCCGGCTCGCCGGCGATCCCACGCAGGAACTCGAAGAACTCCTTGTAATTGGGCGCGATCGAGTAATAGTCCTTGCCGCCGCCGCGCTCAGCGACGCGCTTCCGCTCCCACTCGAGCTGCTCCGGGATCGACGGTAGCGCTTTCGCCCGTCCCGCGAGGTGCCGTGCCACCGCGACGGCCTGCCACTCGTACACGCGGAAAGTGAACCCGCCCCCGAGCTACAGAGAATCGAGCAAAATTGGGCGATGGGTTAGCGAATGGTGATGGGCAGGGTTGATGGGGTAAGAAAGTAAAGAAACGCACCATTCCGACGAAGGTCAGGGTGGGATCCTCGATATCCCAGGTGTGCTGGTAGACACCGGGCAGGCGGCGGTAAGCGTTGCGAATGCGGTTCTGGACGTGGGGTAGGTAGGGCAGGCTGAAGGTGTAGCCGGTGCCGAAGACGATGTGATCAACGCCGTCAAGGGAGGAGCCGTCGGCGAAGTGAACGCGGCCCGTCTCCGGGTCAAGTTTCGAGATCTGCTTCTTCACCACGATGTCCGGGTGCAGGAACGGCTCCCACCCGAACGCCGGGATCGGATCCCCGCGCAGCGACGCATACACGGGCGACTCGGCGAATCCTATGATCTCGTGCACGACCTCGTGCGCCGAGATCGAGCCCCCAACGACGACGACGCGCTGCTCGAGCAGATTAGCGAAACTCTGGCGCCGGAGAGACCGACGAGATCGTGCAAGCTCCACTCACCTTCCCCTTGAACTTCGACGCCGTGCGGAAGTGCTTGCTGTGCAGGATCCGGCCGGGGAACTTTTGGTCGTACTCGACGAGCCCCGGAACGCTGGGGAACCAGGGGATGTTGTAATGGCCGCTGGCGACGACGACGGCGTCGAACGTCTCGCGCCACCAGAGGTTGCGGCCCTGCGACTCCTTGCGCAGCGTTAGGACCCATTCGCCGGCAACCTTCTCGGCGCGTTCGACGGTGGTCCCGAGCTCGACGAGCTTGTCGTGGCCGCCGCGCGCGAAGATGCCCTCGACCCACTCGCGGATGACGGCGTGGTGGCGGAAGGGGGCGCCGGGGCCGTGGTCGGCGAGCGTCCGGGCCGAGAGCCTGTCGGGGAAGGGCTCTTGGGTGTAGCTCATGAGCGCAGGCGTAATGTTGCTGTGCAAGTGCTCATGTAGGGGAGTGTCGGAGAACCGGTGCTGGTGCCCGTTGATCTCCTCGGACGCCGGAGTGACGGCCGGGAGCACGGGTGGTACCGGCACGGTAACGTCGGCGTCGCCCGAGACCAGGTCGCCAAGGGACGGGATCGCCGCGGGTAGGTGTGGTGTGTAGATCCAGGTGCCGCCAACGCCGGGCCGCCGCTCGAACACGCGGATGGTGTCGAAGGCCTGCTCCTTGACTAGTGCGTCCGTGGCGATGGCGCCTGACGGACCCGCGCCAATGACGGCCACACGCCGGGCCTTTGCCGTCATAGCGATGTCTTCTGCTGACGCCTCGATTGCCTAGGGATAGGATGCGCACACGGACGCGAGCACAGATACACACGCACACACGCCACGAAGCACTCTTGGCGTCGCGGGGAGCTATTAAGTTTATCCTCGCAACACGGCTTGGGCTGGAAAGTAAGAACAGGGGCGGTCGAGCTTGGTCAACCAACAGCGACTTTCAGGTAGTCGTTGGAGCTTTTAAGGATCTCTCTCCTCCCCCCTCCGCTCTCGAGGAGAAGGGGGAATAAGGTGTCCGTACACCGTTAAGACTGCTGCATTGCGTGACACATGCCGCGATTGCGTCTGCGTTGGACCTGATCACGCCAAAGAGGTGGTCGTGCCAGAGGGTGCAGCGGTAGGGATCATTGATAAGGCGCGGTGGAGAAACTCCCGCTGCCACCGATGCCTCCTCAGTTACTCCTCTTTTCTGCCCTGGGTATCCTCGTAGGTATCTTATCCTGCCCGCAGCCGGAACTGAAAATGCTTATGTCCACGCATGTATGCACCTTGAAGAGGACGAGAAAACATGCCACGGGGTGTTGTGGTCTTTATCTAGGCGGAAGCGGCGTAATGCCGCGAGACCTTTTCTATCTAGAGGCGCTGGGACTAACGAGAGACGAGACGATGGCTCACCAACAACCTTCGACTTGGCATTTCCTCGAGGAACGTTATTTAATAGGTATGTTCTATTCGGCAGGGCCACACCGAGAGCGGGACCCCCCCGGCAACGAGCCCGCGGCTTCGTGAACGAGGGCGGCGACGGGATAGGACGGCAATGGCGCCATTCTTCACTATCTGCACGCAAGCGGGCAAGTGGATGTGCGAACTCGCCGGCTTCTCGACTATCCCTCGCATCGGCAGAGCTTCCGACCATGCGTTCTACGCAAGGGGCGAGAGGTAGCGGAGCGTGCGTTTAAGAATGGCGACCCGTCCCTATCATGCCGTGCCAATGCCATTAGACGAAGAATGGGACCAGGCCTCTCTCTCTGCATGTGCGCCCCTGTCTTACATAGGTATTACTTCCCCGCCTGCTGTGCTCTCCCACACTGACCCGAGTGGAATATTTCCGGACCCGGCACACCTGTACTCCTCCTTGCATGAGGATCACTGTGGGAGCCGTCCAGCGATTCCCTACCTAAATAATTAATACCGGGCCCCTGCGCGCATACCTACCAACCAAGTTCACTCCATAAATAAGCAAGTCCGCTATGCCGTCCGCCGTCGAGCCCTCTCCGTCCGCCTCCGGGCCGCGCCCGCTGCCGGTCTACTTCATCGGCCACGCCGGGGTGGGCCTGCTGTTTGACGAGTCGCCGCGGAACCACGTCGTCCAGGACAACCTGCGCGCCATCGGCGAGGAGATCCGCGCCATCACGCCGCGCCCCAAGGCCATTCTCACCTTCAGCGGGCACTTTGAGGCCAGCGAAATCCACGGACCGGGCGTCATAGAAGGTGATAGATGCCCACCTCCCTTAGCCCCGGGGAGGAGATGGTCCCGAACTAACCTGACTTACGACTCGGTAGTCAACGTGAAAAAGGGGACGCACATCCAGGTGAGTTCTAGGAGGCGCGCTCTCCCATCCGCGCACCTCGTGAACCCGCTAACCTCTTGCGCGCGTCGCGCAGCACGACTTCGTCAACGACTTCCACGACTCGCGGCCGTCGGTGTACGAGTACGAGTGGCCGCACACGGACGCGCCCGAGCTTGCTGTCGAGGTGTGGCGGCACCTCGGCCGCGCCGGCATCAAGGCGAAGCGCGTCGAGCGCGGCGTCGACCACGGCGTCTGGGTCCCCTTCAAGCTCATGTTCCCCGCCGAGGGAGAAGACGCGGCACCTCTCGACGTGCCCATCGTCCAGGTATCGACATTCCACGGCTACGACCTCGCCGCGCAGATCCGCCTCGGTGAGGCCGTCGCGGCGTTGCGGTAAGCTATGCCTTTTCTTGGGGGGGGGGGTTTCTTTTCTTCGTCTCGTTCCCCTTTTCACCTTTCTCTCCACATGAAACGACTCCCTGTGCGTCCTGCTAAACACCCCGACGCTGAGGGGCAACACAGCAACGAGGGCTACCTCATCGTGGCCTCGGGCATGGCGGTGCACTCGTTCGAGGCGATCGCGTCGATCCGGGACGCGGCGACCGACGCGGAGCGCGAGCGCGTGCGGGACCTCGTCCTGGCCGAGTCGCGCGCCTTCGACGCGGCGCTGCGCGCGGCGCTGGCGGCCAAGGGCGCCCGCGCGCGCGAGCAGGCCCTGCTGCGGCTCGCCGCCGACGGCCCCGCCCTCCGCCGCTGCCACCCCACCGTCGAGCACTTCACGCCGCTGCTCGTCGCCGCCGGCGCCGCCACCGACGCCGACGAGGCCGTACCCCTCGGCGTCAACGTAGTCGAGCCCGGAATGTCGTACTTGAATGTGCGGTTCGCGTAGGGGTAGAGATGGGGGGATGGATAGGGCAGGGTGGTATACGTATATTTAAGGAGAGAGTGGGGAGGGGGGAAGGGGAGTGGTAATGATGGTTTCTAGATCGCTATGATGCTTGTACCTATCTAGTTAGGGGAGTTTCTTCGTGAGTGTAGGCGAGTAGCAAGAAGGTATGTGCGCGGTCCTATGAGGCATATGCCTATGTTTCCTATACACGGAGCCTGAGCGTAAATGGCCCTTGGTCTTGTCTGGTGGTGCGAGCTTTTGAGGTTGGGATTTTGTATATATATCAAATTACGGGGCGACAGAACTTAGTGCTGCGCTCAAAAACACCGAGAAAGCGAAGCCGCGCGAGTTCCGTCTAATTCGTATCTGCCCTTCGTCTCCCCTCCTCCCCGAGAAATCCTGCGTAAATACAACCACCGCCTGCTCCACGGCTCCTATTTCCTCTCTGCCTACCGCCTGCGACCCATCGTCTCCGCGCCCCCCTCCCAGCAGGAAGACCGCCAGCCGGCGGGGTGCCCTACCAGTAGTACCGGTGCTTGCGGCCGTGGCGGTCGGTGTACAGGGCGTCGCGTTCGAGGGCGGCGGGGTCGTCGGCGGCGCGCACGGCGGCGGCGAAGCGCCGGTTGAACCACTTGAACAGCGCCGTCTGGACGATCAGCGTGGCGAGCCAGACGGAGCCCAGCGCGAGGCAGGCGCTCCAGGCGCGGCGGTACAGGGGCGCGTCGGACTGGCGGGGGTTAGAGGGGAATTAAGGGGTGGGGGAGGGGGGAGGGCTTACCCCGCGGAATACCTGGTTGCCGTACGTGCCGCCCAGGTTGGAGCAGCCGACTAGGAGGGTCAGAGAGATGCGGCGGTGCGGGCGCGGGCGGAGGAGGGACTTACTGTAGACGGCGTAGGCGATGGCGCGCTTCTGCGGCGTCTGCGAGTTGAGCGAGAGCCAGGTCACGTTGAGCGGCTGCCAGCTCCTGGGGAGGGGGGTCAGCGCGGGACCGATCCTGGTAAAGGGAAGGGAGGCTGTGGGGGGGGCTGTCTTACGGCGCGGAGACGGTGACGACGTAGGCGGCGTAGAAGGACCACGAGGCGTGGGTGGTGACGGGGAGATGCTGGGCGGGGTCAGCTAGGCTACCCGGAGGCCATGGGAGCAGCACGAAGGAAGAAGGGGGGGGATGGGGTGCGTACGTAGAGGGCGATGAGCCCGACCATGGTCCAGGCGGCGACGAAGCCGATGGTGTAGCCGAAGCGCTTGTACCGGTCGACGAGCGAGGACAGGCCGAGGCCGAGGAAGGAGGCGATGATGGGCGCGGGCGCGTTGAGCAGGTTCGCGCGGATGCTCGTGAACCCGAGCGACTGGATGATGGTCGCGCCCCACGTCGACAGGCCGCCGACGGACTGCAGCCCGCTGAGGCAGATGATGAGGTACGGCCACGTCGTCCAGCTGAAGAGCACGTCGGTTCTGGGCAGGCAGCGCGCGTTAGTTCCGCGGGACACTTCCCCCGCTTCCGCGCAGCTTCAGACGGCCGCGGGACGGGCTGGTTCTGCCTTACATGTCTTTGAACTTGATGCTCATGGTCGAGGACTGGCCCTTCTTCGGGTCCGCGCGGATGATCCGCGCCACGTACACGTCCGCCTCGCGCTCCGAGAGCCACCCGCTCCACGGGACGAGCCCGCCGAGGAGGCGCCCCGTGTGGTGCGGGGACTCCGGGACCAGCGTGAAGGCCAGGATGCCGGTAGCTAGAACCGGAGAAGCCGCCGTCAGCGGCCGCAGCAGCAGAGTATGCGTAGGGTCAGCCGTGCTTACCTATCGTCGAAACGCCGCAGATGAGGAAGATCCTGCGGCAGGCCCCGAATGTCGTCAGCAGCAGATCTAGCAAGCCGAGAGGGGACGAGTCCCCCTAAAAGCGGATTCGTAGAAAAGAAAAAAAAAAAACTAACCACTGCCAGCCGAAGAGCCCCCCGGCGCCCTCGATGCGCAGGGCGCCGGCGGAGATGAGCGAGCCGAAGGCGGCGGAGATGGACGGGCCGAAGAAGAAGATGGTGGTGCGGCTCGCGAGCTCGTCCTGGGTGTACCAGCGCGAGAGGACGTAGAGGCTGCCGGGGATGAAGCCGCTCTCGCCGAGGCCGAGGAAGAGGCGCGCGGCGTACCAGCCGCTGGCGTTGCGGACGAACATCTGCAGCACCTCGATCACGCCCCAGACCACGACCTGCAGCGGGATCCAGTAGTGCGGGCCGATGCGGTGCAGGACGATCTGTACAGGGGGGGGGCAGGAGGAAGACGTTAGACGTCGAGGTTCAAGCTCTCTCGCGCAGGCAGCGCGCGCGCGCGTGCTGGGGGTGGAATGGTTTCCTTACGTTGGACGGGATCTCGAGCAGCACGATGCCGAACCACAGCAGCGAGACGCCCGTGTTCGCCTGGTCCCGCGTCATGCCCGTGTCCCGGAGGAAGGTCGACGTGAGGACGCCCGACACGTTCGTGCGGTCGATGGCCATCCACGTGAACATGAGCTGTTGCAATGTTAGCCGCGGCTTATTCCCGCTCGATACGGCCACCGTCGCAGCCATCCTGCTAAGGCGTGGTCGAGGGAGACCCCGGGTGTGGATCACATACGGCAAATATGGGGAGGAACAGGTAGTCGGCCTTGCGCACGACGCGCCTCTCCTCCTCCTTCGTCCAGCTGATCAGGACCTGTTGGCCGTCCTTCACGATGTGCTGGTGGAAGTATTGGCCGTCGTCTTCCGAGGGGTCGCCGGACAGGGTCGACGTCCCGACCTCCGCTTCCTTGCTATTTGCGTTTTCCGTGTCGTTCTTTCCGCTGCCGGATCGGACAGTAGCCAACGGTGCTGCCGCGTCCGGCGAAACCGCCGTGGAGGCGGCGACCGCCAGCGATTCTGTGATCTGGGATGCCATGTTTCGAGATTCCAGACGGCGGCTTGTCCAACGCGCTCGTCCCAACGTGTCGACTAGCTACTCGGACATATAAATAGGAGGAGTACTTGGTCGGCGTGGTGGGCCGCGTCTACCTTATATATCTACCTTAACTCGTGCCTAGTAAGTCGTACCAGGTCCGCCATTTACGGGATCGCTCGGTTCGACAGCAGAGTGTCCCTGGTCCCACGCCGGGAGGCCAGGTCCGACGCAATGGGACTGGTGTATGATACCGCACTTAGTGTGCGTACCAATCATCTCCCCGGCTGGTTCGGGGCTCGACCTAGGGGGAGTGAATAATAGATGCTCCCGAGGTCGCACTCACCAACAGGAGCTACCGTGTTTTGGTGTAGAGGCTGCTCTCCTATTCGGAAGGCTGGCCGATTCTACCATTCTAGCTTCTATGTTGCGATAGAAGATAGCGATAACGTTACGGCTTGTGGTCTCGGCAGCGATAATGCGAAAAGGGCGAACGTTGATTGCGACGCGAGCCGCTCTGGCTCGATGGGTGGTGATGTCGTCTTCGGGCCTGGGGATATCGTGATCGGGGTGGGGTCGGTGCGTTGAGCTGAATGACCAGGGGGGGGGGAGGACCTTTACTGCGAACTCCCTCAAATAGAACCGCTGCTATTGGCGCTATGATGCCCCGATGTTGAGCTCGAATACAACGCGAGATGGCCCAATCTCGTAGAACTCGGGATCTGGGGACCGATAGCTCCTGGCGAATACACGCCCGTCCGGCCTAGCGCGACAGGGGCTTACCTGTCCGCCATCACACTGTCAGCAGATGCAAGGCATTACGGGATCGATCAGCACGAAAACCACGTGGAATGGCACTTGAGCTATGCTAGTCTCGCGTCTCCGCCAGAGAGGATCGTCACCGGGTTCGGACATGGTTCCGGCCCTTCTACGATTCGCCGCCTCATTTTGTACATATGATACATCAGCATCGATAACACGTCTAGCGGCGGCGATGGATACCGCGAATCCTCCGGCTGTACTTCCATAAGGACCTGTACTTCGGCTTCGCCCTCTTCGCTTCCCAGCCCCTCAGCTTCTTCTCTCCCTTGAGGGAGTAGACTCTCTTGAACTTGAATTCGATATTCGCGCCAGGCACGCCGGCCCTCTCCATGACGGCAGCCGTGTTCTCGTCCCAGACGGTTCTGAAGATGTTGAAGCCGACGGGGGTGAGACCGAACTTGTCCCGGTAGCTCTTCAAACTAAACCCGTCCCGGCCCGAGTACAGTTCGCGGAGTTGGGCAATATCCAGGACCTGCCCGGGCTTCTGTTCCAGCACGAATACGGACAGTCTATGGTACGGCGCGCCCTTGTGCGAAAAAGCCGGCAGCCACCGCACGGCTAGTTGAGTGTCCTTATTGGCCTTGCCGAGCGGCAACGAAGGCTGGTTAGGGGAGATGGGCACATTCGCCGAGAGATAGTGGCATCGCCTTTCGAACATGTCCGTCTCGGGGTTGGGCACGTCCGAGTCCATGACAACTACCGAGACGAGACGCTCGCCGGCGTTGAAGACCTGGACTTTCAAGCGAGGCGGCACTTCCGTGACGGCCGAATTCAGAATCTCGCCGGGCTCGACTTTGAGTCGCCGGAAAAATAGCTGAACTTCCACGACGGGCTCGAACTTTGGTAGTACGTCTGGGACAATATGGAGCTGCTCGATACGCTGTTTAATCATGAGGTACGATAGTCCGCGCCGCCATTTGCGCTCAGCGTAGTATCGATAAATTGGCTTGTCCATATCCCCTGCATAGCTGTTAAATCGGGGTTCAATTTTTCAATAACAAACGGCAAATGAAAAAAAGAAAAACAAATAAGCAAAATAGAGAAATAAGAGGAGAAACCCCCTAGAAAAGGACTTGAAGGAAAAAAAGAAAAAAAAACATACAACACCGGGGATTCGCTGGTCGTCACCGACCCAACTACTAATCCGGCGGTATCTGGCTTATCTATGGGAGAGCGGACGGGATCCCGAGTTTTCCAGATCCTATGGTCGTATGTGCTAGACAGCTTTGCTATTCTGGCTTATAACCCAGACCTTGACACAAACCCACTCCCATATAAATCATGAGCAGCCCATTTCCGACTGGATCCGCTCGCTCATCAACCGCCCCCGCACGAGGACCTAGTCGTACACGAGGCGATGCGCAACTTGTAGGAACACCAGTTGTCGATCTCTTCGACTGATATCATGGCCCAAGAACAAAAACCAAAAAAAAAGGAAATAGAAAAGGGTCGCGTGAATCAAGGCAGTCAAACATGAACCGCACTCACCCATGCCATCCTCGAATCTCCGCTTCACGAGCGGGTCGTTGACGTCGGCGAGGATCTTGAGCTCCTCGAGGTACTTGCGCATGCTCTCGAGGCGCCGGGTCTTCTTGGCCTCGCCGCCGGGGAGCTGGTCGGCGGGGGTGTCCTCGAGGCGCTTGATCTTGGCCAGCTCGTCGGCGATGGCCTGGAGCTTCTGGCGGCGGTCCTCCTGCAGCACCCGGCGCGCCTCCTGGAAGCACTGGTACGGCAGCTGCTCGAACGGCACGTTGTCCGACGTGCGCAGCGCCGCGCGCCGCCGCCGCGACCCGATCGGCGGCGTGCCCAGCCGCGCCAGCTTCCCCTCCGCCCAGTGCGCCGTCGTCGTCTCCCGGTCCATCAGCCGGTCCTGCATGCGGAGCTTGCCCGTCTCGCCCGCCGCCGACGCCGCCTCGAGCTGCTCTATCGAGCTCTTCGGCGGCGCCGGCGGCGCGGGCTTGCTGTCGCCGGTGGTGGCAGTGGTGGTGGTGGTGGTGGTGGTATCGGTAGGCCCCTCCTCTCGTCGCGGTGCCGTCCTCGAGAAGGGCCGCGATATGCGCGAGGCGCCGTTCTGCAGTAGAAAGTGCTCGGGTCGGAGCGAGCGCACGACAGGTCTTGCGACCCTCCGGCAGCTCGACATGACTACGCTGCGTCGAGCGTGATGAGGCCGCCCTGCGAAAGAGGAAGAGCGAAATTGTGTATGGCTTCGCTATCGAATATTGAATTGAACGGAATTGCAACTTTTTGAAGCTCCCGTTCCGATCCACTAAAATTTTGGTAGAGAGCGATTGCGTAGTGCCATGTACCTAGATAGGTACCTACCTAACGCTGTACGCGGAATGTGGTACTCTGTACCTCCCTAGTTTAGGTATCGATAAGAGCAGGATGTGCCCGGCCAGCGGGCTATGCCTACACCTGAACCAATTTACCCCGTTTCTATTCGTCTTCTTTTTTTCGCCATTTCGCAATTGAGGCTTCGTCTATCGCCAAAAAGTGAGGGATCCCCCCAATTGACGCTGCCGCCGAACGGCCCGCACATAACCGCAATCTCGGATTGCCCGGGGCCTCTTCGACCCAAGTCCCTCTCGCCTCGGGGGAAGGGGGCCCGCGAAGCTATGGCGACAAGTAAGGGCGTGCTCTACCTCAACGAGGCCTTGCGGAGCCTGAGCCTATCCTCACACACATGCAGAGCAGCGACCTCGGTACGTCGAGCAGAATCTCTACCGAGCACCCAGGAGGGACATGGTCGCTAATACGCTATAGCTTCCTATATTATCAGCGTCGAAATTCACGCGGCCAATATCCTCGCAGGCTCCCCTCACTCCGACTATTGGTATCTCCCCTCCGACGGAGCCCAGACAAGAAACCACCACCACCAACTATTGGAGACCAGGTACGCCCGCCTTCGCCTGCACGCGCGCCCCGCGGCGACACACGCTGAGCAGGCTGCTAACGTGAACGGGGCCAGTGCCGACCGTCCCCCTGACCATCTTCGAGTTCCCTTCGTTCGAGCCGTGGCGGCTCGAGTCGTGGTCGTCGGAGCACCTGCACCTGCCGCTGCGGCGCGACATCCTGCACCTGGCGGTGGTGTACGAGGGCGACAACACGCGGCAGGGCACGGCGAGCTCCAAGACGCGGTTCGACGTGGCCGGCTCGCACCGCAAGATCCGGCCGCAGAAGGGCTCCGGCAACGCGCGTCTCGGCACGCGCCAGTCGCCCATGCTGCGCGGCGGCGGCAAGGTCTTCGGCCCCAAGCCCCGCGACTTCGGCACCAAGATGACCCGCAAGGCCTACGACCTCGCCTGGCGCACCGCCCTCAGCTACCGCTACCGCCGCGGCGAGCTCATCGTCTGCCGCGACGGCATGGACCTGCCCCTGCCGCCCCAGTTCGCCGCCCTCGTCGCCGCCGGCCAGCTCGACGACGAGCTGCAGACCAGCTTCCGCTCCAAGTGGGCGCGCCAGGTGCTCGACACCAACGACTGGGGCCGCCAAGCCGGCCGCAGCACCTTCATCACCACGACGCGCCGCGACGACCTGTTCGACTCGCTCAGCCACGTGCCCACCTCGGGGCGCGCCCTCGAGGTCGACGACGTCGACGTCAAGGACCTCCTCGAGACGGGACGCCTGGTCGTCGAGCGGGCCGCGCTCCGGGAGATGCTCGAGAGGCACCAGAGCGACCTCGTCAAGAAGGTGTTCACCAGCGCCGAGACGGTGTCGATGACGCCCGAGTGCGGGGTAGTGCTGGTGGAGTAGCGCGCGGGCGGAGGTCGCGAGCTTGGCTATCATCGATCAAGTTATTTTGTCTATGGGGAGAGGTCTGGGCGTCGTACGTATGCTAGGTATGTATCTACGTGCCGTTGTACGTTTATCACCCGTCTCCGGGCCCTGTAGGACTCCTATAGCAGCAACGAGAACGGCACATGCCGCGCGTCCAAAGCACTGCAGCGAGGCTTTCCCACGGGCCCCAAGCGAGGCCTACGAGAAATCGCAGTGTCCCCCTCCAACTAGCCCACCCCGCCCTTCTATGCCACCACCCCCTCCCACTAGTAAACCTATGCGACAAACCACGGGGGTCCGGATCGAGGGGAGCTAGGGAGAAGGAGACATCCTCGAGTTCCCCGGTCAAGGGACTCCAGGCGCCCGGGGAGTCGACACCCGAAGAGTTGTTCGCGAATAGCATTGTCGCATCAAGGGTGGTTTTTGTTAGCTCCCCCCAAATAACGAAAAAAAGCCGCAGCGGAGGAAAAGATCACCAGCAATGTCTTCTCTTTGCTGTCAAAGCCCAAGAGCAGCTGACACGACCCTGTTGTTCTTGCTGTTGTCGTTCGGCGCCTTGGTTGCGAGTAACGTGTGCGCCTTGCCGCTACTCCTACGACTACCTACATGCTAACGCTTCTTGCCGCCGGCACCCCTATGTATATGTACGCGGTGGAGCCAGGTAGCACTGCATTTCTTCCCCACCCCTCTCCTTTCCGCGCCAGCACGATCCCGCAAGTTCTGATGGTGCTTGACCGCGCCTGTTCTCTCAGGGCCGGCGTCTCGAGGCGGCGGACGGCGCGCTCTCCCTGGAGCTCGTCGCGGCCTCTTTTCTCTCGCATTCCACCCCGAGATTTGACGACCTACGTTACGGCTGGGCGTCGGAGGAGGATATGAAAACGAAATTCCGGCCGTCTCTCACTCTTCTCTCTCGTCCCTCTTCTGTTGCGATGTAATTTTCCTGTATATTCCAAAGATCCACACGCCGTCAACTCGCCTTTCTCCTAAATTATCGCTGGAGGGAGGGTATAGGTAGAACAAATTAGCCTTTCAAAAAATCATTTTCGTATTCTCCCACACGCGGGTCCGTGTATCGGAAACCCCAAATGACGCCTCGTATACACTGTATACCGCTGGGCACCTTGTGTGTTGCGGTCTGCGGATATCGTCGGATACTAGCCACTAGAACGTGCGAAAACGGAATCTAACTCGGAGTGGTAGCAAAGGTGTTGCTGTGGGGGGGGTGGGGGGAGGGGGGCCGCGGAACATGAATACGTGCGGATGGAGCCTACGCGCTCTCACGTACGAGGTAGATATAACGTATGTCGTGTCGTGAGGAGGTAAGGAGGGGAAAGGGGAGAGAGAAAGGTGAGTACTTAGTCCCCAGGGTTGAATCGGGGAGGAAAAGAACTATCAGCCTTTAGTAACCGCGGAGTCGTGAAATACGCCTTCGGCCATGTGCATGGCATCGAAGTGGGCGCCATCTTCGTGCATGTGGCCCCCCATCGGGCCCGTCGGGTAGGCCTCGTCCATGACAACGGAGGCTGTGCCGTCGGGCATGTTCGGCGCCAGGTCCGAGCGGTAGAAGACGGGCGAGTTCCCCACCATCGTCTCGGGGAAGAACGATATGCTGCCGCGCTGGGACGGTGTCACCGGACTGATGAGCCCCGAGCCCGGGGCCGCCGCGAACCCAGAGGCGGAGGACATGCTATCCTGTCGGGTAACCATCCCAGGTGCGACACCCATGGTAGCCAGCGTCTGATCGTACCGCTCGCTGGCCCCCAGGACGAACCGCTTGGCCTCGTTCTCGATCCATTTATCGATGTTGGGGTCGTTGCAGCTAGCGTGCTCCATGAGTTGCGACTTGATATGGCTGATCTCGTTCCTCAGGCTGCTATACTCCATCTGAAGCTGGGTGTTCTGGCTTTCTAGGCCGAATCTCGTCTCCTCGAGGTCCGACACCCACTCCTTTTTCTTCTGACGGCACTTGGTGGCGGCCACGCGATTTCTCTCCAGAAATCGGTTTCGCTTGGTAGTCTCGATCTCCGAGTCGACGCCAGGTTTCGCCTGCGCCTTCCGCTGTCTCCTCTTTTTCGCGACGGGGGGGCCCGACAACGGCACGTCGTGGTTTCCGAGAGCATCCTGGGCGTTATTGTCGGCATGGGTCGGCGCATCCTCCTCCGTGGTCTGCCGCGACGAGTGCGATTCTGGAGTTTCCGACGAACCACTCGACAGCCCCGGAAGCTCAGCCTTGACCGGGTCGTGGTGGAGCGGTTCCAGTTGGCTTATCGCAATGTGATCTGCGGGTTTCATAGGCGCCCGAGCGGATAGCGAGTCCATGAGCGGAGGAGTCGGCAGGCGGGTTTGGGCCGACGACGACAGGTTGATAGAGGGCGCGTCTAGGTCAGCATGAAACGAGGTGTCTTGGCCGTCCCCGTCTGGGTCTTTCACGTCCTGTCCGTCGAAGAAATCGTAGCCGCCGTCTTCGTCGTCTGGGATGCTGTTGCGGAAGAAATTTGGTGAGCCGTCCATGTCTACGTCTGCTACGGGACTGCGCGTAAGCGTTGACGGGAAAGGGGGATCGAGGAGGGAGGTAGCTGGCGATTTGAACATGGGAGAGGTCGATGATAACCAGTGAAATTCTGGGCGCTTATCCTCCCGTTGCACGGGACATGTGACGATACCGAAGAAGGAGGGGGGAAAGGGGAGGGGGTTGGGGTTAGCCATACGAAAGACGAGAGTCTGGTTGCGAGGAGACAGGCAGCCCGCAGCGAGCACCCGGTCAGAGGGGAGGCGGCGCCCAATCCAAAAAAACACGAAGAGCAAATGACTCGCTCAAGCTTGGTCGATGCTGCCTCAGGAGGTGGGAGCTCTAAGCTCTGAGATTGGTAATCATGGGGGAGCTTGCGGGCGAGGAGACGCTAGCGCCTCTTGCGTGGCTGGCGGAGCTCCGAGGAGAGGGCACTAGAGGCGAATAGCCGTGATGGTGGTGGTGGCCCCGGCAGTCCTGGCGGCGGCGGCTGTGGTAGTAGTAGTAGTAGTAGTAGTAGTAGTAGTAGTAGTAGTAGTAGTAGTAGTAGTAGTAGTAGTAGTAGTAGTGGTTATTGTCGTCGTCGTCGTAGTAACGGTAGTAACGGTAGTGACGGTGGCATGGCGGCGGCGCCAGCAGTGGTAGCAGCAGCGGTGGTAGTAATAGGTAGTGGTGATGGTGGTGGTGGATGGGAGACGAGGCCGGCGATTCATGGGCTTCGCTGGCGGGGAAGAGACGACAGGGAAATGCCATCGCCCTTAGCTCTGGCCAACCTCTGGGCGGTGTTTCCCTGCCACGGCCCTGCCACGGCTCCGCGCCTTCCTGGCCCCTCTAGCCGGGTGGCCACTGCCTGTTCGAGGCTCGTCTTAGCTTCCCTCTTGTCGGGCCAACCCAGGCAGCTCCTTCCCCCTCTAGCTCAAGCTGCCCGCGGCAGCTGCGAGCATGGGTGCTGCTGCCAGTCCAGTCTTGGTCTGGTTTCGCTGCCTCCTCGTTGGAAACTCTCCCCTCTGCCTGGCCCCTCAACGCCTCCCACCTTTGCCATTCTCCTGCCTCTCCGAGCTGCACCATCATGGCGGGGTCGTTCGATTCCTCGAGCCAGAAAGTCTCTCTGGCCAGCCGCCGGCTTCGAGGCTCGCGCTCGCGACGCATTATCGCTCCAGGCTCTGTTGTGCTAGGCCTAATCCACGCTGAGCAGGCTACAAGCTAAGCTACCCTCCACGACTAACGCCCATCCCAACTAAGAGCCATAGCGCCCCGCGGCCACAGCTATGGAACCTAGCGGGGCTGCGAGGCCGAGGGGGAGACAGGACTGTATAGTAACTAGGTAGGTATATGAGCATAATACCTACGCCGTCGGTTCGTTCTCGAGGCGTCGTCGTCGCTGCTCCCCCAACCCGTTGCTTCCGTGCGGCCGAGGGGGACGAGGTAGCTCCTCCATCGATGGCAGCATCCAGCTCGAGTCCAGGCTGCGTGGCGCGACGAGTGGGATGCGTGCGGGTGTCGGAGAACTGCCAACGCGGGCAGATAAGCCAAGCTAACACGCTCTCAGACTGGGTCCGCCGGCATGCAGAATTAGCACCAGCTCTAAGCGTCTGCTTGGCTGCCTCCAAAGAGGGCGATCCCACCTCGCCAAGGGAGACCCCTGGATATGCTGGGACGCGTGTCGCCTCGTTTGGCCTCGCGAACAGGTAGGTATTATTTACCTCAACTGATTACGAGCTTCCCGTCCAGCTCTCGGGCGGAGGCGCACGAAGGTTGCGGCTAAGGTTGGATAACATTTACCCTCGAGGGAGTGCTCGCTAGGCGTTAAGCTCGCGGGACTCGCCTGCTTGCTCGAGAGACGCCATCGGCCCCTCTCTCGAGTTACAGGGTAATAGGGCTATAAGGTTCTGACTAGCCAGTGCCGACGAGTGCCCAGGTGTGCGACCCTCTCTCCTCTCCCCGAGCGAGATCGCCTGCATCATGCTGTAGCGATGATAGAGATCTATGATTGCAGAGTCCCGTTGTCCCCACGATCCGGAAAGTCATCACCGCTGATTGGTTCGCGAGGGGTGAGACTAGCTGAGACGCCGCCTGCATAGAGTCTAGTATCCCCACGCCGGGCGGAATACTCTGGGACTCGTCTCCTCGCGGCGACGTCCCTCTGGGGACCAAGACGGCACAAGCCGCGGAAGAAGACCAAGGCATCGAAGGGCGAACTCTAAGTGAACTGACGAAGAGTGTATCTTGTCAGCGCCTCAACGCTACCGGAATCGACACTGTACCTAATCTCTTCACCGTCCCGACAGTGAACGGGCGCTTTGCCGCTAGACGTCTCTCATCAGGGTCAAGCTTTTCCGAGAAAATGCCCGTGCCAACTTAGCTGCGATATCGTCTTTAGCGCAGCGTCAAGCATCCAGGAGGCTGGGTTCCCGTCTCTCCCTACTCGAGCCGGTTGCTGGCGGGTGACAACTCGCTTCTTATCGAAACCACTCGTCTGGGAATCTCGCAGAGAGCCAACTACGGCCGCGATCCTCCCGCTGGCCCGAGTCCACATCGTTGCCCTTGGTTTTTTTTTTCGCTACTAATAAGGCGAACAGTTGCCAGATTGGCGGTCTTCGGAATAGGATTCGAGGGAGAGGAAGCAAACCACGGTAGTGCGAGCTTCAGCCTCCCTTGCGACTCAGTGCCTCGAAAAACTGAGGCTCGCGCAAAACTCTGATGCGGGACGGAGTAATATTAGATTAGCCTCCTTTGCCAATTTTTTGCCATGGCAGACATACACTACCGAAGTGAAAATTTCCTTATAGACTGGCTGTCATCGAGATTTGCAAGCCTGATCAGAATGGACGATTGCCGGATACTTCCGGAGTGCCTGGCTCGGATACTTTTCATGCTGTAAGACGAGATGACTTACCGTCATTTTATGTGGTTCTTGGAGGCGCGCGGCTTCACCAAACGTCAACCTCGGGCGAAATCCCGCCGAGCTTTTGCGCCTATGCTGCTGAGCCGTACGCTTGCCTGTCGCACGATAGTCATGTGCGACAGTCGTATAGGACCTCGAGGCACACTTATGGCATCGCCGAAAAACGCCGGGCGCATCGACGCCCGCAGCTAGTAGGTATGCCGGAACCACCTACCTACCTAGCCTGCTTATCCTAGAGGCATTACCTAGCGTCTGCCTCCGAGTCAAGCTGGCCGCGGCGTAACTCGTCTTCTTCCTTAACTATGCCTATCTGCCTACGAGTACCTAGCTATCACCCAATCCCGCAGTGGCTTGTCCGGGATCTGCGTCGACACCGGCATCTTCTTATGCCTAGCGAGAACGGTATCCTGCAGTGTCGTGTACCTCACATATGCGCAGCCGACATAGGACCTGGCGATGCACGCCACCCTCAATCTCGCATACCGGGTGGTGCGTGCCGTGGTGTTGGGCACGTAGGTAACGGAGGATATGTCTATGTAGAGATATATACGAACGCTGGGCCGGGGTTTGGTGGAGACCGGTCCGGGTCCGCCGTTGGTTCCCCGCGAGGAGTGACGAGGCATTTTTAGGTATTGTCCCTGCGAAGATTTGTCGATGCATGCATGTGGCGACAGTTTCAAAGCTGACTCGGGTCGGGTCTGCCATCCGAACCCGGCCCTTGTGCTTCCGTTAACGACGGTGTGGTCCTCCGTCGCGTCCGGTTTTTACTGCGCAGCATGTTATTTTTTACTTTACTTCACTTTTGTTCTTACTTTTATTTTTAGTTTTCGGTTTAATTTTGTTTTTAGTTTTCGGTTTGATTTTATTTTTAGACCCCTGCATTTGTATTCTTCTTGTTTCGCGATGGGTGAATGGCGAGAGGACCGTTATGGCGCCCCAGCTATAAACGTGGCGGTCTTAGAGATGTTTTCCCCCTCCCGATGTACCTAATCCTATAGCAGGGCAGGGCAAGGTACTTCGTTTTCAGCGAGCTACGCTCGACGCGCACGTAACGGTCGGCTCTTCCCGTGACATACGCGCGTCGCGCTTCGGTTTTTCCTCCTCAGCCCGATCCAACTTTGCCCTTCGCCCTCGCCTTCTCTCACTTTTTCGTTTCATCTCTCCGTTCCCCGCGCGTTTCGGTCCCTCGTTGCCAGACGACAGACGACAGTAACCTAGTAGCTTTGCCGAATTGATTCTGCGTGCACGTCAGATCTCTAGTGTGTTCCTCTCTGCTGAGTTTGGCTTCCTCTCAAAGATGGAGCAGACTTCGACACCCCGCGTTTCCGCCGCCCTCATCGACTCCTTCGTCGGCCAAAACGTCATCATCGTGGGCAAGGTGCTGCAGCTGCGAGGCGACACGGCCTTCATCGAATCCGATGGCCAGATCCAAGCGAGTCTGAACCGGGTAAGCCAGCATCCATGCGCTTCTCCATATCCCGATCCCACGTGCGGGCTTCGCTGCACTCCCACGCTACTTACCCAAACCCGGCTAGGGACTCCTCTCGCCCCAGCTCCTCACCACCAAGGCGTGGACGTAATCTGAGCTAACGATGATGGTACTATGCGCAGGAATGCCATCTCATGGTTGGAAATGGCGCCCAGATCATTGGCAAAGTGAACTCGGACCTGTCTGTCAAGGTGCTAAGTGCCATGGATCTCGGCGACAACGTTGGTATGTTAACGCCCGCCTATCTCCCCTGCCCGTCCGCGCAAGACTCGAGCCGTACTCGGGCTGTACTCGGGAGTCCGTCTCCCTCGTGACCCATTTCCCTATATCGTATCTTCTTAGCGCAATAGCGCTAGGGAAGGGATAGATAGGCGGTTTTGCGGTCTCTTTCTTGCCTCTGCTTGGTTTCTCTCGTCTGCCCCTCTTATCACTAGGACCTCCATGATCCCGTCTTCGTCTAGCCGATATATCTAACCCCCGATATCTCAGACTTCCAAATCTGCCAGAACGTCGTCGACGTCACACATCATTTCAAGGACATATTCGTGTATCAGGACCGAGGTGGCATGAACTGACGCCGGGCACATGGGCGCGTATCTTTGGGGTGGTCAGCTGGTTCATACCGACAGTCGCAGTATCATTCTCGTTCTCAGTCACAGTCTCAATATCAGCCTCAAATTCCAATCCAATCTTCGTCTGAACAGCCAACCGTTGTCGGAATAGCCAATGCTGCCTCTGCCACTCCTGTTGCTACACGCTCCGAGGTCCGGCCGGTCTCGCCCCCGACTAACCAGCTATCGCAATTAACCATCCAAGAGACTTCGCAGCCCTCGCAATCCACTCACCTGACAGAACTCTCCCAACCCTCGCAACTTAGCACCCAAGAAACTCAAGACACGCAATATACGGAAATCTCGGCTACTAGCTCGCTGAAAAAGAGCCCGGCGCCTCGGTCCCTTCGTCCGCAGACAATTTCCCATGGCAGCAGCAGCAGCGGCAATAGCAGCGGCAGCCAGAAGAAGCCCACCGGGCCGCCGGCGATTACGCCCCCAGCTCTCTTAGATCTAACGTCTTCATCTTCATCTTCCTCCTCGCACTCGTCCCCTTCGTCTCCTCCTCTGTCGTCTCCCCTACTGTCTCCTGCCCCAACATTTGTGCCTCCGCCATCCTCGTCCCCCCCGCCATCCTCACCTCCCCCGCAACCCTCGCTCCCGCCACAACCTTCAGCGCAACAAGCACAACCCCTACCCCTACCCCTACCCCCGCCTCCATCCCTACCGCAACCCCTGCCGCAGCCGTCGCCGGCTCCGCCGGTACCCCCTAGGCGGCGCGGCCGCCTGTTTCGCACGCGGTCGGGCAACTTGGTAAGCGCGGCGGAGATGCGGCGGCGCAGGGAGGCGGAGCGCCACGCCGCGGAGCTGCTGGACGTGGTGCTCGAGGGCATAGCCGCCGCCGCCGGCGACGACGACGGCGACGGCGACGAGGCCGGAGGCAAGGCCGTCGTCACCTTCGCCATGGACGACGCCGGCCGCTGGCGCATCGTGCGGCGAGACCCCGCCGAGGTCGAGGTGTACCAGGACAAGGGCGCGTCCTAGCGACGCGGGCCTAATTTAAGTGAAATTCTGATTTCCTTCTTTTTTTTTGTTTTTGCCCTTGCTAGCGTCCGCCTTCCCCGCGCGCCCGCACGCGTATGTGTGTGATGAAGTTCCCAACCCTGCCGCCGATGTGACGCGGTGATGGCGTCGTGTGCGGCCGGGCATTCTAGCTATCCGTCCGGTCGTCGCAGCTAGCGTAAGACCTAGCCTACCATAGGCTTGGGGACTGCATGTTCTAGTTCTGTCCTGAGCCCGCCAAAGCCAGCATCGATCGAGAGCACAGGTGGTCCAGCCTCCCGCATCCCCTGTGTGTAGATCCCCGAGCACGTAGGAGCAACCGCCCAACCCCTCTCTCCCCCTCTCTCCCTAGGTGCGATATAACGGCTTAAGCGCAGATACGCAAGCAGCGCGCGAGCATAATCGATACCCTACAGTCTAGTTCACCGTAGTCCCAAAGTTTTTTTTTTTTGTTTCGTTTTCCAATGCACAGGGTCTGCAGGTAAATCCCGGGTTGCCGCAGACTAGCTAGCCATTGTGGATTGAGTGGACATCACGGGGGTCATAAGGCCGGGGGCATAATACTAGTAGCAAATAGTATTGAGGAGGGGAAAAAAAAACCTAGCAACGACGATATGTACAACCTCTCCCCCCTCCTCGTCCCGCCCGAGCCGGGGACGCGCCCGAGATGCGTCGCCGCGCGCGCGCGTTCGCCGAAGGAAGGGTGCGCGACGAGGGGGGGGGGTCCGACGTCGCCGTCTTGCCACACAGACAGGAGGCAGCCAAGAATGCGATAGGCTTTGTAGGCAGGTAGCGCGGCGCGGGGAGACGAGACGGACAGACCGTCCGCGAGCGCCGCCGGGGTGGTCCGTCCGGCGTGCGCGTAGTTATGAGTAGATACAAAATACAACAGGTGGGAAAGAAAGGAGGAAAAAGAAGGGAAAAAAAAAACAGATTCCGACTCCGGGGGTATCATCGTCTCGCAGGCTTTGCCTCTCGCCCTCCCTTCTTCTTCTATCTCCCTCTCCTCCCTGTCGGCCTCGGCACTCGGTCCCGTCGCGAAGCCTCCTCACTTTTACAACCCTTTTCCTTCCCTGTACTTGCGTCTCGTGTTCTTTGTGTGTGTGTGTGTGTACGTGTGTGTGTACGTGTATGTGTACGTGTGCGTGTACGTGTGTGTGTACGTGTGTGTGTACGTGTGTGTGTAAGAGTGTGTGTAAGAGTGTGTAGGTTTCATCACCTCAAAATCCAGAGCCTTTCGCGATCCGAGAGAGACCACGGGGTCGAGGGCGTGCAGGCCAAGAGACGAAGACGCGCCAAGCAAGCGCGGGTATCTCAAAACGCACTCCTCTCTCTCTATATGCCTGGGAGGAAAAACAACCAACGAGACTCGGAACAAAACAAGATCGTATCGTGTCCACGTTACCGAAGCTCTCTCTCCTGCCTCTCCCTCTCTCCGCGCCCAAGGCGCCTCTAATCGTAGAAGTAGTAGTAGTACCGCGGTATACAAGCCCGAGTACATTCGTAATCCGTGGAAAGTATGAAAAAAAAGAAGGGGGCTTATAACCTCACCCGAGGCGTATACTCCTAATGGAGACAGTCCGCGTGTAGATGTTTTATAGGTGTCCGGGGTTCACGCTCGTCTCGTCGTCGTATGCGAAGGAGTGGCCAAAACTCAGGGTGTCGCCTCGGCCGTGTAGGGCAGAGGGCGGACTAGACGGCATCGCGTTGTCATCGAGGAAGTCAAAGTCAAAGTGGTCGCCGCCGACGATCGGTAGGTGGCTCAGGTCCAGCCCGAAACCTCGCGGCGACGTCGGCATAGGGTACTGCCCCGTCGCCGACAGCATCTGGCTCAGGGACCTGGTCAGCGGCGTGTCAGGAAGCTGGTCTCCGAACAGCTGGGAGGGGAGGACGTCGTCCGGCGAGTGGCGCTTAGCCGCGCTCGACCGAGGCGTCTTCGCGGTCGCTCTAGTCGGAGTCTGATCTATCAGAAGCTGGCTCGGGGACGTGATTGGCCCGCCCGAGCGCATGGATCGCGTCACACTTCTAGTGATGGGTCGATGGCTGGGTGTGGGATGCGTCGGGGTCTTGAAAGGACCACCGCTGCCCATCTTCGGGGGAGGCGTAGAGGGTCTGATAGGAGTGCCAAATATGCTAGCGGACTCGTCGTCATCTATCATGTCTTGTCCAAAAGCTGCCGAGCTTCCATTTTCCTTATCCCACGCGTGCTGTCCTTCTTTGGTGCTCTGAAATCCGGGAGATGTCTGCACGATATTGACGGCCACATCTCCCAGAATTCTCTGCTCGCCAGCCTTTCGTGGAGAGGGGAAAAGGAGCCGTCGAATGCCGTCTAGGTCGTCATCGATCGCGATGGGACTACCGGGGGTACCACTTCCTCTAGAGTGGGTAGATCCCCGAGAGCGCGTCAAGCCCTGGAAATTAGCGCCCAAGTCGGTCTTCTCGCATCCCTTGCCCGCGTCCTCGTCGACGGCAACGCCGAGTTGCTGTACTTGGCTAGTCGGCTTCGCTATGGACTCCTTCGGCGACAGTGATCCATCCGGCGGTCCGGCAGGGTCCGTCGGCAAACAAGCTTCTGATGTCAAGTTGGTCTGGGCATCACCCTTTGCTCGGGCTTTCTTGGAACGGGGTAGACCAGCTCCGTTGGCTCGCTTCTTGCGCGTTTGGGATAGCCTTTGCTCGTCCTTTTCCCACTTCTCCGCCGGCCTATGGTCCTTGAATTTACTAAACCAAATCCCGCATGCTTGGGATCGTTAGTGGGGGGGCTCATGTGATCTATCGCCTCGACCGACACTTACGGTTACAGAGCAACACCTCTTCCCAATCGCTCTTGCTATCGTTCGGCCCCAGAGATTTCTTGAGGACTTCGTACAGCTTCGGTGTTCCTTCTTCGTCTCGCTGGAGAATCTTGATCGCGGTGACATGGCCAGGCTTCTCCGAGTATTCGTGATATGTCGGGACACCTTTGTGCTCTTGCCTCCATATCTTTCGCCACGTGGGCGTTTGAAGAGCAGCGCAATTTCGGCAGTACGATGGCATTTGACCCATGTTTATGGCATCGTCCAATTTCTGCTTAATCGTCTGCTTTTTGACGTAGTTCTTGTTTGACTTCTCGTCCATGGTTTCAATAGCATCGGTTTGCGGGTATGGTGGCTCGGATAGAGGCATCGGGAGAGTTAGCTGCGGAAGAACAGGGTCACTTGCTGGTATTGTCGGCAGCTCTGGCTGTGCCGGGGGGGCTTGATCTAGCTTGGGGAGTGATGGTGGTTCCGTCTGGGTGCTCGTCTGCTCCACAACTGGCTGCACCTCGTCACATCGCGGCGAATCATCCGCTGCCGGGGTAGTAAAGGAGGGATTGCCGGGATAAAGGGGGCCCGGATTTTGCTGGTGCAGATTGTTCATGAGATCCTCTGTGAATGCCGTCTCCGCGGTTGTAATGTTGCCTTGGACGCCTGCCTCCTCCTGCGACAATGAATTCTCAGGGGACTGGCTGTCGACAGGGCCTAGCTCTGTAGCCCCTGACTGCATCTGACCCGCCGCTGGCAGACTTGGAGGTCCAGACACTGCTGGAGCCTTGTTGTTCTCTCCATTCTTTCGGTTAAAATGAGGTGGGTTGTACAACGAAGTCTGAGGAAGCAGCTCGGGTGGACCAGGCGTTTCCGTGTGTATGACCAGATCTTGCTGAGCCTTGGCCGGTACTGTCTTCTTTGCGCGACTGCGACGAGGCTTCGGTTTCGACTTCGGGTCGGCAATCGCCTGCGACGTCGCATCAGCGGGCGCCTTATTAGCAGTCTCTTCTTCCAATCCTCCGCTCATGAATCCAGAATCGGGTTGGGGTATCGGTATCGGTAACGGAGGTAAGATCGGGCTTGAAGGAGCCGGACTAGATTGGATACTATACAATGTAGTTCGCGGGACCGGGGGAGACGACCCGATATCAGCGGGACTGGGTTCGTCAGTATAGGCCCGAGAAGGCGACCGCGCGGCGGAATCTGCAGGAGATCGAGTATCTTGGCCGAAAGATGCCGATCGGCTAAGCTCCAAGTAGGACGAGGCAAAAGAGCCGTCTGGCCCCATAGCCCCGTTTAATTCGCGATTCAGGTTGCTCGGGGCTATAGGACGCGCATGAAAGCCAGAAAAACGCGAGTCGGGAATTGGCGTAGGAGCTCTGGGGATTTCTGAGCCGGGATTGCCTACAGGCGCGTCCCCTGCGATGCTGATCGGACGGAAGTTTCGGAGAGATCCTGAAGTGCTCGCAGCGACTCGAAGAGAGTCGGGCGCCGAGCCAAATACAGCGGTGTTACTGCGTTCTACTTTCGTCGTGGATGCCCTCTTCCTGCTTCGTGGCGGTCCGTCGTCTGCATCAGTGCCGTCTTCGTAGCCAGATGTGCTGCCTTCGACTGGGAGAGGCCGCTTACGCGGCCGACCCCTAGGTCGTCCTGAGGGGGCGCGGTTGGACGCTCGCGAACCGGGTCTGGATTGGGGTTTTCCCGTTCGGTTGGGAGCTGGCGCCACAGCCTGTTCCTCAGCAGCCACAGGTTGCTTCTCGGGAACACTCAGGTCTGGAGGTGGAGCCGAGTGGTGTGGCTCGCCTGCACCCGGGCCAACAGAAGAAGGACGGCTTCTAGGCGCCAGCTGCGGCCCCCGGCTGCTTGATGCGGCCACGTCGCTTCGGGCCTCATAGTTTGAGTTGAAGGGCTTGACAGGCTCCGGAGCGATGGGCACGAGATGAGAAGAGGCAACATTGGTCCCCGCAGACTGACCGAGGCTCGAGGTCGATTGACGAAAGGAATTCCACTCCGAATTCTCTGATGGAGCCGGCGTTGCCGACGCTCGCCGAATCAAGGTGGACTCTGGGGTAGTATTCGCAGGGGGCGCCGGAATGCTTCGGGCAATCCTGGGAACGGCGGTGAGCTTCAGTTTGACCTCGAGGGTCTCCTTTATACCATTGCCGAAAATGGCCAGCAAATTCTTCGTGACGCGTCCGATGACAACCTTGGCCTGATCGGGAGAGCCAGCTGGCTCGTCAATGGCTCGGGAGAGCATCCCCTGGCCGACCAGGGGAATATCAGGTTCAGAGTAATCGACGGCATACACCGTATAGTCCTGCTCGGGATGGCCAACTAGCTCCGGGCTGCAATCGACAACAGCTTGGAGACAAGTCTTCAATTCGACAACACCAATCGTATTTTGCTCGTCCATCGGGATCGTCCGAACATGAAGTATCTGAGGCCATCGTGCGAGGCAGCGCTCTTGGCCTTCTCGGTCGAATGTATAATGGACCTTCACTAAATGGTATCGGTTAGCCCTCGAAGCGCTATGCGGAGGACCGGCAACACGTACGCCCCATGGGTCTCATCTGTATACCATACTCGTCACCTCCAGCGGGGTTGGCGCCCCAGGAGGCATTGTCGTTACTGGCCATGTCCGCAGTCACGAAGGGGCAAGGCCGCAAAAAAGGGAATTTCGCATGCAGCCGACTGGGTAGTCGGCAGGGATATCTGATAACAATTGAAAGGAAATGAAAAGGGCGGTGTTTTCGGATCTGATTCGCGAGAGTGCGTTATAACCGATGTGACATGGTCGGGAGGCGTGTTTCGCGATCTCGATACAATCGCAGGGCCCGACACGCAAGGAGAGGTGCAGCTCACGCGAGAGTGCACGGGAAAGGAAGGATAGAAATGATGGCGACAGATACGTAGATACGCAGACGACGAGCGGGCTTGAGGTGGCGGATGGAAAGCGGCCAAGCGTCGCACGTCGGCCGAAGAGGAGGATTGGAGGTGCTGGGTGTTGGACAAGTCCCGAAGGGCGGAGGAGGAGGTTTCGAAGACGAAATGGAGGAAGAGGAGGGATGGACGGCAGGTCGAGAGAGAGGTGTGTTGTGGAATGAATGGTTCGAGGTACTGGGTACAAGTACAGGTACAAGGGGGGTGGGGCAGGATGTCGGGGCGCGCCAAAGTACCACCAGGTAACGCGTTGAAGCCGCGATAGCGATGCGCGCTAACAGCTCTGGCAGCGCGTTGGCGAAATGCTGGCTCAGACGTCAACGGTCGGGGTGGCTGGTCGGCGCGCACGGGCCACCTGCAGACAATCTGCCGTCTTACGTGGGGCCGGCGTGCACAGACCAACTTGCCGGCCTGGCCTGATATTGCTCTGGTTCTGTTCTGCCTCGCAGCCGGCGCAGTCTGAAGAAGCACACTGGGTTCCGTCTCTCCACAGCCGCCAGGGAAAAAAAAAAAGATGTTTTGGTGAAGCTGCAGCAGGCGCCGGTCGCCGAGGGGGAATTCCGTGTAGTATTTATTCCTGTCCCCCGCGTTTTGCCGCCCAACACCGCCCTTCCGCGCCTCTGATGACTCAGACGATAAGGCAAGGGCGGAGGAATTGCACCAGCAACCTCGGAGCCATTTAACACCGACGTGCGAGTGACGGAATCCCTACCAGAGATGAGGTGCCCCCATCTCGCCATGTTGGCGATGAGAGCCTCTCCTCTTCACCGTGCAGGTTGCTGGAGACGACCTCCTCGTCGCCCCCTTTTACGCCCCTTTTCGCAACCCCCCCTTCCCCTCTCCATGCGTCAAGTATCCACCTGCCACGTTATACCCTGGGTAATGTGCACGTGGAGGTATATTCGCACCGCGTGACGGCAACGAGTTTATTACCCAAGCTCATCATTCCGATTTTGACAATTCATTCCGGCCTGGTGCTGGCCTTCTCTCTGCTGCCTATTTATAACCACCTACTAACTAGGTATACACAAACACCAAGCGCATCCTCGTGACCTATCACGGATTACTATCGTTCCACACCGCCTTGCCTGCCTCGTCCACCCAAGTTTTGCGCGCCAGGATCTCATCCACGATGACGCTGATGCCTTGCCTGCCTTGTTTCAGCTTGTTGAAATGTTGGCGCACCTCCTTGCGAGTCCGTCCGCCTACCCTCACCACCATCTCCACATCCAACTCCGTAGGCACGCCGAAGGACTGGTAAGGATAGTCGGGATAGTCCCGGTCCGTCACTAGCTTCAGTTCCAAGTCCGGGGTCCTTTGGAAGAACGGGCCCGCGATATCGCTACCTGGTACGATAGCTTCCAGGGAAGCCGGCTCCCATTTCGGCGTCGGCTTGGGGTCTTCCTTCGAAAGTTGCGCCTGCACGCCTTGGACAAAGTCGGGGTGCGCCATGAATTTGGCAGCTATTTGATACTCGCGCGAGAAAGTTTCCGCGATAGTCCACCTGCGTCCCTCCTTCATTTGCCTGAGGGCCACGTGGACCGAAGTTGGCGACCGTTTGTGGAGGGTCTCTAGCGTCTTCTGTGCCCAATCCTTAGTAGGCTCCCCCTCTTGCTCGAGCGCGGCTATGATTTCTTCCACGGAATTCCGACCAAAGCACCGGTCGATGGCGTCCCGGAGCTGGCCTCCCAGAAGCAACGGCTCTCCGTGCGGTAGGCCGGTCGCGTATTCTTCGATAGTCGTTTCGATGATAGCTAGGCGTTCCTCCATACTATCGTAGTCCTTGAAACGCAATTCGGCCAGCCGCGACTCCAAGCCAGGTAAGCTTGTCGAATGCAGGTAATGCGTAGCGATACCCGAGTAGAACACGTTTACGCCTCTCACCCGCTCACTCGTCAGAGCCAGGTAGGTGCCGATAGCGCCGGCCATCCGCGGCAGGAAGAAGGAAGCGCCGACGTCAGGGAAGAAACCGATGGTGGTCTCGGGCATCGCGAAGATCGTCCTCTCGGTGGCGATTCGGAACGGGGCGTGCATGCTGAGTCCTACGCCACCACCCAGGGTGTAGCCATCCATAAATGCGATATACGGCTTCTGATAGGTCGCAATGTAGTGATCCAGTTGGTATTCTAGGGCGAAGTAATCTACCGACTGGCGCTGGCCGTCGGGGCCCAGGAGGTTTTGGTCGGCGAGTACGTCCACGTCGCCCCCTGCGCAGAATGCCTTGTCGCCGGCGCCCTTGATGACGATGACATTTGCCAAGTCTGACTTCTCCCACTCGACTAAGCGCGGGAATATCTTGCGGATCATGGAGCCGTTAAGAGCGTTGTACTTTAGGGGGCGGTTCAGCTCGATGGTCCGCAGCCCGTATAAGTTGCTGAAAACGACATCACGCGGTTCATCCGTCGGCAGCTCCTTTGGGACCCCTTGGACGCCGTTCGTAGACATCTGCCACCGGGGATTAGCCGGACATCCGTTCAAGATAGACAGGTCGCCAGTCATACTTGTGCCCTCGGCGCCGCTAGAGGGGCTAGCATCTTAGCTCTCAACGGCATCGTCAGACCAGCTCTCCGGCACGGAGAAGCAGCAATGGCAGCTGCTGATCCCACTCTCCCCACAAGGGTCCTCAACGACATCTAGCCTGTTGTTTTGTCGACGCGCAACCTCAAGCTACATGCGCGATTGGGGAAACCGAGTTGCCAGAGGTTCAACGGGGCAGAAGTCGAGCGAGCGGCGACGGACTGCTCCTGAGCGGTACGGTTAGGGATGGGGACCCTCGGCCCCAAAATCTTTTGCCGATCCAAAGACGGAGGTACCTGGGTACGTACATTGATTCCGATGTGCTGCTACCCCACGAAAACGGGACCCTGCATAGGTAGGTTGATAAGAGGTTAGGTATATGTACATACCTAAATCGAGGCTGGTAGTTACATAAGCATCACTACTGTGTTTTTTTTCTAGTTATCGCGTTAACGGGGCTCGACAACCCATCAAATACAAGCCCAATCCAATCTATCTGCCCTCAGTCCAGATCCGACGAAACACTCCCAGCCTTGCATCTGTCCAACCCTCACCGGCTTGTTTCAATCGGACTCGAACGCTATTCCGAATCCACGAGACCACCTGGACAACCCGATCTAGCCAACCCAGTCACGTCGTCATGGCGGACGCAAAGATTCAGTAAGCCCGTCGGGAGCACGCGGTCTCGCCTACAAGTTGCGGCCAGCTAGCTAACCAGTCCGTCTGCACGCAGGGAGCTTCTCACGAAGCCGCGCAACGAGCTAACGTAGGTGGCCCTGCCCTACCCCGTCCTCCCCGTCGTCTGCCGACCACCTCCCTGCCGCCGCTCTTCTCTCCTCTCCTCTGCCGACCCGACCGCCCCCCCGGTTCTAACGTGCGTGGCAGGGAATACGAGATCTCGCTCCTCGAGGAGCACGAGTTCAGCGCCGGCCCCCTCTCCATCCTGCAGACCGCCGTCCGCAGCCACGCGCAGGTCCTCATCTCGTGCCGCAACAACCGCAAGCTCCTCGCCCGCGTCAAGGCCTTCGACCGCCACTGCAATATGGTGCTGGAGAACGTCAAGGAGATGTGGACCGAGACCCCGAGGCTGTCCAGCGGCAAGAAGGGCCGGCCCGTCAACAAGGACCGCTTCATCAGCAAGATGTACGTTACGCCACTTCCCCATCCTAGTCTTGTCTGTCCTGTGGTGCGGCATGATGGAGTCACGGCCGACGAAGCTAATACGATTCCCCCTTCCGCAGGTTCTTAAGAGGGGATTCGGTTATTCTGGTCCTGCTCAGCTAGAGGAGCAGCGTGGGGATTCGGTTATACTCGCAGCCAGCCAAGCCTCCGCGGCATACCCATCGCCATACGCATGTCTAAGCCCGAGCTAGGCGGAATGGTGAAAGTAACCAGAGGTCAAAAAGAAGACGGCACGCCAATTTGACAGCATATTTGTTTGTCACATTACTTGTGTGCTCATCACGGTAATAGTAGTTGAAGAAGGAGAAGGTAAACTACTTATGAGAACGGATTGAGCGCCGAAAGAAAGCCGTGGCCGCCGGAGAAAGGAGATAGAAAACAGATACCTACCATTAAACATGACTTTTTTGTTGCTACTTTTTAGTGTTGCCACCTCTTTTCCCTCCCCGAACGCTCGCTACTGCTGCATCTCATCCTACGATACAAGATCTGTGAAGGAATCCCAACTACACCGTCTCCCAGCCCTCCTCGTAAGGTTTTATGCCGGCGAGGCCGAGGAAGAAGGTGGCGAGGCCCCAGGCGCCGGGGTCGGGCACCTGCTCGAAGCCGGAGCCGCCGACGTAGACGGCGCGGCCGAGGCTCGCGCGCATGCCCTTGGTGCCCTCGGCGGCGCGCCTCGACGCCTCGGCGGCCTTGCGGACGTCGCCGGTCTTGCCGAGCACCTCGACGAAGGGGTAGAGGGCGTCGACGAGGGTGCGGTCGCCGGGGCGCGCCGGCGTGTAGCGCGACAGGGCGTCGCAGCTCTGCTTCAGCGCGCCGGCCCACACCTGGGTCGTCGCGTCGCCCGGCGCCAGCACGCGCAGCGAGTGCACGAGCGCGTTGAGGAAGATGGCGAACAGCGCCCCCGACGTGCCGTCCATCACGTTCTCCACCACCGTCACCAGCTGCGCCACGTCCACCACCGCGTCGCCCGTCGGCGGGCTCTCCTTCAGGTGCTTGAGGATCGCTGCTCCGCGTTAGCTTCTCGGTCTGGCCTCTCCGCGCTTCTCCCGCGCCAGCTTGAGCGGGGTCGCCCGGTCTGCCTTACCTTCGGCGCCGCGCCGCAGCCCGATGCCGCAGTCGCCGTCTCCGACCACGGTGTCGTACCTCGTCACCTCCGGCTCGACCGCCACGACGGCCTGGAGCCCCGACGTCAGGGTGCTGACGAACGTGGTGGGGTCCGCCTTGAGGCCGCTCGGTTTGACGCCCTGGTCGGATCCTGTCGTGTCTCCCCGGGTAGCGACGTTCTTTGCCTCCCAAGTGTTCTTCGAGATTGGTGCTGCCCACCCGGTCGCTTCGCAGGGGTAGTCTAAAAGCTGGATCATGCTCGGCCCGCCGATTTCCGTGTTGACCACATTAAGTAACGTGATGCTGAATCCCAGTCCGTTTAGGCTCGTCACTATAATATTCATCGTTAGTAAGCATAGTTGCGGGAGGGGGAACGTTTCCCATTTGTGAACTCAGCGGGACAGGAGTATAACTTCACTCCCAGGGTAATAATAGAGGTAAGAAGCATAGTAAATTATACTCACTATAGGACCCGGTCAAGATTCTTACGGGCTGGATACCCCAGGAACCTAGCTGCTTGACGACCTCAGCGGTGATGCCTCCCAGCTCGAGGATGCTGACTCCGCCAAGGTTGTTTACGAGCAGGACGACTTCGTTGGAGTTGACATTGAGGAAAGCACGGTCGGCGTCGTTTTTGTCGAGGAGCTGCGATAGCATCGTGCTCACGAGCTGGGGGAGCTCGACGCGGGCGCGGCCGGATCCGGCCTCGTTGTGGATGCCCATGCCGATCTCCACCTCGCCGAGGGCCAGGCCGTCGGCCGATTTCGGGTCTGCGGCCGCGCGACCGGGCACGTGGACGTGCTCGAGACTCGCACCGACGCTGACCAGGTTCTCGGCGGTGAGGCGGGCGACCTTGTAGACCTGGTCGAGAGTGGCACCCTGGGCGGCGAGGGCGCCGGCGATCTTGTGGACGAGGACGGTGCCGGCGATGCCGCGGCGGCCGACCTTGCCGCCCTTCGCGCGGCCGACGCCGACGTCGTCGCCGACCACGAGCATCTCTACGCGGAGACCGGCGGCCTTGGCCTTCTCGACAGCCATGCCGAAGTTGAGCACGTCGCCGGTGTAGTTCATGACGGTGACGAGCACGCCGCGCTCGGTGTCGACGCGCGACGTGATGGCGCGACGCACCTGCTCGGCACTCGGCGACGCGAAGATGGTGCCGGCGACGGCGGCAGACAGCAGGCCGGCGCCGACGAAAGCGCCGAAGCTCGGCTCGTGGCCGCTGCCGCCACCGCTGATGACGGAGACTTGGGACGGCCCGGACTCAGTGGGTCGGCGGTAGACGATTTTGTTTTCGGCGTCCAGGGCCACGGAGGGGTTGGTAAGGGTGAGGCTCTGGAGGGCCGAGTTCACCAGGAGGGCGGGGTCGTTGATGAAATGCTTGGCTGACATCTTGACGGACTGACGGACGGGGGCGCTGCGACGACTGGGATGGGTTCACTGGTGGCAGGTCGGGGACATGCGTAGGTCACCGTTGGGAGCTAGAGTACAGGATGAGATCAACGGGCCTAGGTGAGACCAGGGAGGTGGGAATATATATATATATGCGTGCGTATACCCTGGGCACGTCAAAGCCGCCCAGAACCAGACAGCAAGCCCTCTCACATCGAACCAGCTAGCGCGAGATAAATTCATTAGGTCGACATGACGCTGTCCCCCCTCTCTCTCTCTTCGACCGGTCTACGCAGAGAATAATAGTAGGCCTCGTTGGGCTGGCTCTGGTGGCGCGGGGTCGTGTTCTTGGGGATTTTTACGAGCCTAAGTTAGCGTCGGATACGGACGCGGTTAAGCAGAGGTCGGGCTGGTTCGGCATATGACGTTGGCCATTACGAGATACCTGCCGAGCTACCGCAGCTCCCTCTCCTGCTACTTGCTCTGGCCGCCGTCCGTCGACTCGCTCTCGGGTACCTGGTAAGTACTCCTATCAGACCTGCGCGCAACGCATCCTCGATGTACGTAAAACTCAGCTGAGCTGCCGCCTGAAGAGGCGACGTACGCTCTCGCTCTTCAAAGGCCTAGACGGACCTTGATACATACCTACATCGCCATGGGGGGCTGGCGGAAGTGCGTGGGGGAGGCGAAGCATCCCCGTGGGGGTCATGCTTCCCAGCTACCTGCTCCCTCTTACCTAGAATGCTGGCAATAATAGGAAGTCATATAGGAATAACGAGACGACGATGTCCACCCGGGATCTTTTCAAGATTGTGTTGGGATCCTACCTAGCTACCTAGCTATGCCTGTATGTGTCAACATGGGTGAGTTGCCTCAGGTGCCTGTTCCCACTATGTATCTAATCTGCCTACGTTATTGTAAAAAGGGGGCTTGGTTGCATAGGAGGTAGTGTGAATACCAACCTAGGTAGGTATGCCGTCAACATACTACGTACAGCGCATACAACACGTAGCACCTATATAATGCCAGCAGGCTCCACGTCTCCTATCCTTATCTACCTATCTCCTCTTCTCTCCTACCTGTGTTTCTTTACTGGACCTACCGTTTTCTTATCTTCACCTGTCCTTTGACCTAGTCGATTCGTCTAGCAATGGACGCGCTTCCAATAGAAATTCTTAAAGCGAGGCCTACGGTATTCGACGTAGGTGGCGAGAACCAGCGCTCTCGGGAATCCCCCTTGGGCGTAGAGCTCGACGTCGATACTGAAGCGCCTTCAGGAGAGAAATGCATTGTCGGGGCCAAATTCTCAGGTCTTGCTCGGTGAAGCGAGCGCGAAAGGCCCGCCGGCCGGATTGGTAGTCGCCCTAATCCGCGTTTATTCAATCCCTTTTCCTTGTCGATGCGGCTCGAGTTATCCCTAGAATGCCGGTTCTAACGCGATTCCAATGGGCTTTTCACTAGGTAGGGGCAGCACGTAAGGGCAGCATGTAGGGGCGGCATCTGTAGGATACTATGCCCCAGGTTGGGCCATTGGCCAGGGCGATATTATACGCCTAGTCGTACACGATCTTCTCGAATCGGCTGTGGCCACGGGCGCTCGGTGATACTGCTGGATCTGTTCTTACGTCGTGAAGAGGCAAATGCTTCGCCATCGGACTGGAGGCAGCGTCCATAGTCCACGGGGATCGTGGAAGAAGCAGGACATCGAGTTTTGGTGTCGGACGGAGCATGGAGGAGCACCCGGATCTGGGATGATCTGGGATTGGATCGAAGTGGTACCTACACCTAGGTAGGTAGGTATGTAGGGAGTAAAGAGCAATATGCGATTAATAGGGTAGGACAGTACTAATGTGCTTCCCGACTGGTCCGCTTCCTGTAATCCCACAACACCAGTTAGTACCTAAGTAACTAGTGTTAGAATCTTGGGAGGCTGAACCTGATGCCGTTGAGCTATCAAGATAACAACTAGAAGCTAGAACTACTAGTAGAAGAGCTTATTTATATCAACTGGATTCAGATGAATACTGCCGATTACGGTGAATACGGCTTCCCTCAACAGGGCAGTCAATAAGATCCACTAGCCCTCTGCGTTTATGCAATTGGACATTTATGGGTGGGGCAGACAGGTACCTAAGTACCTGACACAATGAGGTTGCCCCTCGACAAGGGCCCCTTAAAAAGATCCCACCACAAGTCTTTGCACCCCGCGTTGTGGGGTGACTCAGTTCTCTGTTCTAAGCGCGTTCAGAGGTTATCGGAGAGGCACCGAGGGCGGGAGAGCCTTTATCGTCTTGCTGCCATCTGCAAGCAGTTGGGGTGTTGTCGTCTCCCTCAATTCTCTCTGTCATTGGGTGAAACATCTACGTGCGCCAACAGCATCTACGTGCGCCAACAGCATATTCCATCTGGCACAGCGCTGCCTATACCCAACCGCGGCAACCTCCTACCTAGCATCGTGGGTTCTATCCAGTTCAAATCGTCTAGGACGGGAGTGTCGCCATGGCATCAACCCCGAATGGGTCTCCTCCGGAGGCCGATCCGAAACCGGTTGGGAAGCCGCCAGAAGAGCCTAAGGCACCTCCCCAAAACGAAAAGAACGCGAAAACTGAGGCCGCCGAGACATCGAAACCGAAGCTCTCTGGCGCAGAACTAAAGGCAAAAGCCAAGGCGGAAAAGATGGCAAGGAGAGCCCAAGCGAAAGTGTCAAAAGATGCCGCGAAGGGAGAAGGCGTCGCACCGTCAACAGCTGCGCAGTCAGGTCCACCGGGTGAAGCAAAGGGCAGCAAAGCAAAGGGGAAGCAGGATAGCGCCGGGACAGCTGGGCCCGGGGGGGCAGGGAAGTCGGCAGGGTCTAAGGGGGCTCCCCTCGTTCCCGCCGAGCCGAAGCTCTCCGTTCCCGAGTGTTTCAGTCACCTCTCCATGGCCAAAAGAATACCCATAACACAGGCAGATAAGGACGTCCACCCGACCGTTCTGGCGCTGGGTCAGCAGATGGCGACGTTTACAATCGATGAGGGAATCGCCCGGCTGAAAGCCACCCTCTTGGCCTTCAAAAAGGTACCTCGAGCCAACAAGATGGAGGTCCTAAAAAGTATGCATACCCACGCTGATACCGTGCTAGGTCATCGACTCATATACTACACCTCCGGGGAACACTCTTGCGAGGCACCTGACGCCTCACGTCTTGAATCCTCAGATCGACTACCTCACCGCGTGCCGACCGATGTGCTTCTCGATGGGAAATGCAATCCGTTGGCTCAAACTCCAAGTCAGTAAGATCGACCCGGATGTCCCCGAATTGGATGCCAAGAAGCAGCTCTGTAGCAGCATAGATGTCTTCATCCAGGAGCGAATCACCATCGCCAACCTCGTCATCACCGAGAAGGCTGCCGAGAGGATCCAGGATGGCGATACCGTATTGGTCTTTGGGCGGACCACCCTCGTCGAACACGCCCTTATCCATGCACACTTAGTCGCTCAAAAGAAATTCTCGGTCATCGTCGTTGATGACCCGTATGAGAGAAAAGGCCAGACCCTGGCCACGAACCTCACTGCCGAGGGGATCCGGGTGTCATACAGCGGGGATTTCGGGGGGCTGAGATGGCACCTACACCACGCAACCAGAGTGCTGGTCTCTGCCGAGTCCATGTTCAACAACGGATCCATGTACGCGCGATCGGGAACCTGCGATCTCGCCATCGCCGCTAAAGGACTGGACATACCCGTCCTCGTCCTCTCCGAGACCGTCAACATCACCGAGCGAGTTTCTACGGACTCTCTCACGTACAACGAGATCGACCCCGAGCGGTGCACAGGCGCATCTTTCAGGTTGCTCTACGACACGACTCCGGACAGGTATTTGTCGTTGGTCATCACGGAGCTGGGGACGGTGCAGCCCACGTCAGTGCCGGATTTACTACGGAAGCTTGAAGAGTCCAACTAGAAAGGGGGCTCCAGACGAGCCGGAGTATTCGGACTACTAGATAGCTAGCTAGCTAGTCAGGTCACTGTGTCAGCCGAGGTTGAATATTCGGGCAACGCGCCAGAACATTGATAACAGATGTTGTAGCTTCAGATATAGCCCTCTCCGTGATAGGTCGGCGATTGTAGGCGCCGCGACTACCTAAAAGTCTACCCGCCATAGACGCAAGTAAACATTGCCGACTTGGCCTCATTGACTTTCAACGTCTTTTTTTTTTTTGAATTGGCCTCGCGTAGAGCCTCACCTGTATGTATGTACACTGAACCGGTGCGGATGGAGGGAGCGGGATATGCTTCACGCGGCCGCGGCCGCTCTCTCAGCCTCTCTCGCCGCCTTCCTCGCCCGCTTCTCGAGTATGATCTGCTTTCGCTCCTCCAGCACCGCTTGTTGCCTCTCGTTGACCCCTTGCAGCCAGTAGCCAAAGCTCGCGCCGACGCCGGCGAAGACGGGGTACGCCCACAGGGAACCGCGGTTGAAGAGCGGTCGCATTTCGAGGCCGAGTTGCCAGAATCGGACGGCGATGCCTGCGGCAGACGGGTTAGTCGCGTCGCGGCCCACGAGGACGAGGACAGGGTAGCAGTAGAGGGAGGGAGAAGAGGGGAGGGAGGGCAGAGAGAGGCAGAGATGGGTGACAGGGCGGAGGTAGTACCGAAGCCGCTCCAGAAGAGGACCCTGTGCACCATGGTGGGATGTTGGAGGACGCGGGCTCGGGCCTCGTGTTCTCGTTGATTTTTCTTCTTGCTGCGGTTGATCTCGTGGCCGTCCTTCGTACGCTACAGCTGCTGCAGCTACCTGACGGAATCCTAGTCGGCTGTCGACGTGGCCGCGAATGGTGGGCGGGTTTCGAAGTTGGGCAGTCGAGCGGGAGAAGAGGGAGTGGTGGATAAGTGGGTTAGTGATGATGATACTAGCCCGTTACCTGCGTCCAAGAAAAGAGGTACTTGCTAGCGAGCCGGTGTGGCTTGTTGCTGAGCTGGACGTTGCACAAGTTATGACCTGGGGCTACGAGGGCTAATTATGCTGATCTTCTATGCAGATCTGCTATGCAAGTTTTTTTATACAAGCCCATCTGCGAGGTATAGTAGAGGCGGCATTGACGATCCGAGCTCCATAGGTACCTACCTTTTACGTACATATGTACAAGCATTAGGTACACAGGTATTTAGGTATACGTACATACTAGGAGGTATCCGGGCGTGTACGTACAGGCACTCGAGCCTTACATATAGGCTTGTACGCACCAGCCAGGCGCCAAAACGCGTAAATTCGCATAGACTATATCTCATAGTAATGTCTTTTTTACCTACATACATCCATCTTATGTACGTACCTACCCTATATTGAACATATAGAGGTACCTAATCATACACCGCGGGTACCTGACCCTATCGCTGCAATCCGTCAACCTTCACAACTTCCATAAAATCTTCCCTTCTCCCGTCCGCTCCATCCTCTCCTGCCCTGCCCTCTCCCTCTCCTCCAGCCCGTAATTCCCCCGGGCTGTCTGGACTTGAGTATTTGTTTCTGCGGGTGGTTCGGTTTCGAAGCTTACATGACAATTCCCTCGCTCGAGTGGACGTTTCGCTGCCGGCCGGATGGCCTCCTCGGCCGTGACCATGGCCTCTACAGAGCAAACGCCCATCACCGCCTCCGGAGCAGCGCCTCTCGTGCCCCGGAAGTTCAAGGCGTCGGATCTGCCCCTGACCTCTGCTACGAGGTCCGCCATTGAGGGTCTGGCACATAGCTTCAAGAAGAAGGGTGGCTATGATGCCATTCGCAAGCAAGTCTGGGAGAGGTTTGAGCAGAGTGTGAGTAGTTCCCACCCTCGGCCCGCAGTGCGGGCGCGATAGGAATTAGCTAATTGGCGTCTGTATTTCCTTAGGACTACGAGGCCCAAGTTACCACGTCCATTCTCGAAGTTGCCGAGCGAGAGGTCGAGCGCAACCCTTCCCAGCTCTTATCCATAGACCGCCGGAAGGCTGCGGCTCTGATTGATGGCGCCCTCGACCGGTCCGGAGTGTACCAAGGGGCGGAAGAGGTTCTCGACCAGCTTATCGATGTGCAAGCTATCGAGACACGCATGCGCGAGCTACGCCAAGCCGAAATCGGCGTCGAAGCAGCCAATGAGGAGCAGATACGTGGCTCGAAAACCGATGCAGAATATGCTGCCGAGTCGGCCCGTAGCCTGGAGGAGCGAGAACGCATTCGACGCGAGCTGAGGGCAAAAGAAGAGGAGATCCTCGAGGAGAAACGCAAGATTGAGCGAGAGGAGAGGAAGAAACGGGAACGCGAGAGGGAGCATGAGCTAGAAAAAGCCGAGGCGAAACGAAAGGAAGAGCGAGATGCCCGAAGACGCGAACGCGAGAAGAAGGAAGCCGAACGCGAGCGCGAAAGAGACAAGGAGAGAGAGGAGCGTCGACGGGCTAGGGAGCGGGACCGGAATAAGGAGCACGACCGGGACGGTCAACGTCGGTCCAGGACAAGGTCGAGACATAAGTCGAGAGACCGCTCGCGCCATCGCGAGCGAGACCGAGAACGGGATCGGGACCGCGACCGGGACCGCGATCGGGACCGTAGTCGTCGCCGCGATAGTAGAGAACGGCGGCGACGCGACCGATCCCCCAGAGGTGAAAGAGACAATGGCAAGCCTGAAGAACTCAAGAAGGAACTCACAAAGGAGGACCATGAAAGGCTTGAGCGTGAGGCGCTTGAGGACCTCCTGCGGGAAAGTAAAAAGAACACCACCAAACAGCCTGAGCTTGAGATTGATGAGGCTCTCGTGCCGCCTCCTCGAAGAACCAAACCCGCCTCTGCCATCCAACCCATACGTCGCGACTCGATGAAGAACCAAGATCCCAAGAAGACTCCCGAACTCGCAAAGCCTGAGTCTAGAGATGTAGCGAGAGACGTCAAGGACGCTAAAGATGCGAAGGACGCGAAGGATGTGAGGGAAGCCAAGCCATCCAAGGATTCTAAAGAGCTCCCGGAGCCAAAAGAGACCAAGGACCCTAAGGACTCTAGAGACACCAAAGCTAGAGACGAACGACGAGCCAGCCCAGCTTCTTCCCGTCCCCACCGTGACCGTTCACGGGGTACGGAAGATGGCCGAAGAAACCGCGACCGTGATCGTGATCGTGCACGAGAACGTAGCCGCTCTCACGCCAGACCTGATAGGAGGGATCGGAGCAGATCAAGACACCGAGCTGACCCCCGAGAACGCAGCCGCTCTCGAGATCGTGACCGGAATCCGGAGAGAGATAGGGACGTTTACCGACCCGGTCAGCGGGAGAAAAGCCGCTCTCGGGTGCGATCCCATCGGGATAGGCATGAGAGAAGCCGTTCGCGAGACCGATACAAGCCCGACCGTCGGGAGCGAAGTCGTTCCCGGGTCAGGGATGATCGAGACAGACGTGACCATAGTCGCCTACGAGTACGGTCCGATCGACGGGATGATCGGCGCGACAGATCTCGCTCTCCCCGGCCTCGAACTGAGAGGCGAGACCGCAGCCGCTCGAACTTGCGATCCGACCATCGGGCACGTAGCAAGTCTACCAAGCGTGCACGCAGTCGAGACGCGGAAAAGGAGCGCGGGAGAGGACAAGATAAGGAGCGGGTCCGGAGAAGTCGATCTCGCTCACGGCCCACTACTACAGCTAGCAAGCCCGAGCTCACCGACGCCGAGGCGTGGAAGCAAGGAGAAATCAAGAAACGCGAACAGGAAGCCAAGGCCTATTTAGCTGCACAGCGCGAAGCTCGCGAGAAAGGGCTGCCCATCCCAGGAGTCGATGACAAGCGTAGCACGGGCGACCGCTCGCCCGAGATCAAGAGATCACGCGCCCCTGACGAGATCGACCGGTACAGGCCCGGAGATCGCGAAAGAGAGAGGGCCGACAAGTACCGAGATCGGGATCGAGATCGAGAGCGGGACCGGGACCGGGACCGGGATGAGCGGCGAGACAGGCGGCGCAGTCGGACGAGAAGCCGCAGCCGCCGTCGGGATCGGGATCGGGATCGGGATCGGGATCGGGATCGTGACCGCGAGCGTGACCGTTATCGTGGGGAGGGAGCTCGGGACAGGGATCTTGATCGGGAGCGCGATCGCGACAAGGACCGAGACAGGGATAGACGCAGCCGCCGTGACAGAAGTACCGAGTCACGACGAGAGCGCAGGGACCGAAGCGTCGATTCTAGAAGAGAACGACGGGACAGAAGCCGCAGTCGCAGGCGAAGCAGAAGCCCCCGCTAGGGTCGGCATCTGCTGCGGCCGGCCAGCCAGCAACATGGCCTAGTATCGTGCGGGCCGCACTCGGAGCCTCCCCATAGCTGGGGTAAGGGCTTGGGTGCATGGCCTCGCCATGACATGTAAATTACTGTAATAGGCGGTGGTCTTTGGGACGGGCCGGCGTGACTGGCGTTATCAAAAGGATGCATCGACCTCGGGCTTTCGCGACCTAAGCTGAATACGTGCCCATCACGGGCTAGTAGGTCGTACCTTAAATTTGCGGGTGTCTACAGGTTGCTCTCTCTCTCAAGATAATTAAAAGGGAATACTGAGATTACGGCACCCCGTTGCTACATGTGTAGGGGGGGGAGTGGATTGTTACGGTTCGCGCTCGTGATGCAGGCGGGCATCGAACACCTAACCTAAGCTGTCAGTAACTACCTACCTACCTAAGATAGATGAGGCACGGCATGTACATTAGGGAGCTAATCTTCACGATCTCTTCACCTTCATCGGTAGGCATAAACGTGCACGTGCATATACGATACACGATGCACGATAAAGGGTTTTGAGAGCACCCGGACACCACCCTACTGAGCGAACCATCCGTTATCTCACTATATATAGACACTGGGCGGCCAAGGACGTGACATGGGTCGACGTGCGGGAGCACTTACAATCGGGTGCGATTTAGCAATTGGCGACCGAGGCGTGAAGGGCCGAGTCGGTATGCGAAGTGTGCAATAGGGTCGTGTACCTATGCATTGTATATGAGAGGTATGTTGTCGGGAGAGAGGACGAGGGGAAAAGAAGGGAGAGGCTGGTACCTGAACCCGGGTGACGATGATACCGAAGTGATCTAGGTTACAGCGCTCGTATCCCACTCGCTTGAAACCGCTCTGAAGGTGACGTATCTCCTTTTATCGTCAGACGCCGAATCGAAGAATACATACCCGCTAAACTAGGACGCCTATTCAACATCGCGTTATCCAGAGCAAAGCCTCGACGTTGAAGGAGGATCATTTTGGTTCTACGAGCTGGTTGATGTCGTTAGTAAGGCAATAGACGATCAGCGTCCTTGGAATCGACTACCTTAGGTACATAACTGCAGGCGGGCAGTAGAAGCTATCTTTTTGCACCAAGCCGGAGCTTCATCTGTGACCCGGTTTTATCAGGTCAGGAATAGGTACCTCAGGCACCTACCTAGGTATGTTACGGGGGATCCCAGTAGGCATGTCATGTGACACGAATGCTACCAGTCGCCGTTGGAGAGCGTTACTCCAGGCAGTCTGCTGGTCGGCCGATTCCACACCGTGGAGTCAGCCACAACAGCCCTGTATCTCGACACACAGACGTATAGGTATATTCGCAACCATCATTCTTGAGCTTACGCGCGTGCTACCCTCTAGAGTCATAGGCTCGGATATCCACAGGCAGGTCTCGGTCGTGGAAGGTAGGTAGAGAGATGGACGACAAACCTAACCCGCCAGAGCCTCACCCAGCCTGTTCTGTGACCAACGAATCTCCCCTTCGCGAGTGGGGACTGTCCTTGGGCATGATGCAGACGATTTCAGTGTGCACTTGCTATCGTCTGACGCAAAAACAATATCGACAGCACCGACTGGTTCCCCGTAAGCTTGTCGTCGACTTCCGCACGTCTCCTTGGAACCATCCGCCAGAGGATGTGAGGGCAGGCAAGGCATGATGTTATCCCAACCTGCCCGTCAAATCAATTGCCCAGCTACGTTATCATTTGGCAGAACAGGGACGAGATGGTTATGACGCTGGCAAAGGTCAACGAAGGAAGCTTACGTGGATTCGTATAACGGGATCCAAGACGGCTCCTCGACGTGAATATATACCTAGGTATATCGGATCGGGACCCTTCCTAACGTGAGCCATCTCGGTGATTTTCAGGCTGGCTTAGAAATCGAACAAGACGCTACTTTTGGAAAGTACCTCTCTAGAGAGCTGAACGGATCGTATACATGATAGGTACCACCATCGCCTTGCCTCGCGTCGCCCCGTACGGCGCATGGCGGAAGATGTTAGGGGCTCGTATTAGGAGCCAGACCTCAGGTGGAGGGGTACCTACTTTCAGACGACTCCGCCCAGGTACTTAGGTACCTAGGGTAGGCATGTACCCGTCCACGCGGACGCTAGTAGGGATGGTACCTGCCCCTGTGACGTGGAACAAGAAGAGCTAACCTCGGAGTGAGGTCCAGCCAAGATGCGTGCACCTAAATGCAGGTGTCAGCGGCAGGTCTGCAGCTGCTGCCCCTGCTTCCCCCGTCATACGTGGTAGGCAGGCTGTAGGTGCGTACCTGGTACACAGCGCCAGGGGCACGTATGGGGGGGGAAGGGGTCTGGGAATGCGTACCTCTACCCGGCACCTCTGACCCATCATCTCCAACACGCCGAGCCCTTACCTCCAGGTCCCCCCCCCCCCATCGACGTGAGGAAGACGGCATCAATCCGCAGACCTTAGTTCGGTATCCAAATTAATGCGTTACATGACTTGCCTCTGGCAACCCGAAATAGATGCCTCTATGGTGTCGTCGTCCGAGAGCGTCAATGTTCCGTAACGGGGCCGAACGCTGTTGCGATGCTACGTAGATGCATGCTGTCGATATCTGCTCGGGCTCAGGTACGTAAACCCAACCAGGCCACCCTTCGCAGCCTATCTGGGGGGGTCCCACATTCTCCCGTTCCCATCCACTTGCCTTCCTTCTCTCTCCCTCTCTCCAATCTCGTCTCCTCCTCGTCCACCTCCTCTCTCTCTCCTTCTCACCCAGCACGATTCCTCTCTCTCTCTATATTGTAAAAACTTGACGTACCTGCGAGGCGGGCTCTTCTTCTCTTTTCCTTTTCCCTGTCCCTTCTTTGCGAGATTCTTCTTCGGTTAACCTGCTCCCTTTCCTTGCCCGCCCAGGCCAGGGTACTCTCGGTTTCGCCAGTCCGCCCGGCTCGGTGCGCTCGAACGCATGCGCTGCTATTGACGCCAGTCACAGCACCAAGACACAAGCTAGACCGGGTATCTTGCGACCAGTGCATACGCATCCAGCGACACACGACACACGACAACATTTGGCATCCGATAACTCGCCAATCCAATAATCCGCCCGCCAATATTCCCTCCCTCTCGTCGTTCCTCCTCCCCTCTCTCCCTAGCCGGTCAACGCCCTCCCTATCGTTTCCGTTGCGTCAATCGACAGTCCACGTTCAAAGCTCCGCGCCTTGCCGCCACCTATCGATCAGCACAATTCCGTTCCTTCGCCTATCGTCTGCCTCTCTCATTTGTCTTTCCCCTCTCCGACCTTTTCTTTTTTTTTATTGCCTTTATTACCTCGTTCTCTCCTCGCTTCAAACAACCGCACCGGCACCGATATAGCGTCCCGAATGCTCGAGATTCCACGGTGACTGACGGAAACGTCCCCCCCAGTCGAATTCTATAAAACCCCCCCCCCAGCGCCACACCAAAACTGATCACTGCACCACCCGATATTTTTTCCCGCACCGAACCCAACATGACGAACCTCGACGGCATCGTGATAGGGATTTTATCGTCCTTTGGCTCCGCCATCCTCATAGCTCTAATCTTCCTCGTCGTCTACTTTTTCCGGTACACAACCTCCGGTCGCATCTTCCTCGATCGGATCGGTCGGCCTGGCGAATATGACGATGAGCAAGCATTTGCCAGGGAGGAGGCGGAGGCGCTGGAGTCGATGGATGACTTGCAACGGACAGAATACCTAAGAGCAAAAGGTACGATAACCACTTCCACTGTCCTATGCGTTGACGCATCCCGCCGAAATTTCGTAGCCGGCCTCGATTATATATAGCAGTGCATTGACGGAATCGTAGCATTCATTCAGGCCAACCCTCCCGAGTCCCTCCAAACGGATATTTCCTTGTCGCAATACCTAGCCATACAGGAGAAGGGCGTGTCGGCATGGCAATTTGAGCCCGAACTAGAAATCGCCAACTGTTTCGTCGAAGGCAGAACCGAAATCGAGTTCTTCGACTCCGAATGCACCGTCATGAGCAACTTGCCTGTCCCGAAACAGAACGAGGTGTACTACTGGGAGGCCAAGATCTATGACAAACCCGAAACTACGCTGCTGAGCATCGGCATGAGTACGAAGCCGTACCCGTTATTTCGCCTTCCAGGTATGTCGTCGATGCTCAGTTGAGCCTCTAAATCGAGTTGAGACTGACTTTTTTGGTCGCGCCAGGGTACCACAAGTATTCCATAGCGTACACTTCTGTAGGCGCTCGCCGATACAACCAGCCTTTTTCGGCAACGCCCTACGGGCCGCAATACGTCCAGGGCGACGTCGTCGGCGTCGGTTATCGTCCCCGAACAGGCACAATCTTCTTCACTCGCAACGGAAAGCGGTTAGACGACGTGGCCCACGGTCTGAAATCCCAAAATTTCTTTCCGTCTGTCGGCGCGAATGGACCCTGCGCTGTACATGTCAACTTTGGTCAGGCCGGGTTCGTGTTCATCGAGGCGAACGTGAAGAAATGGGGCTTAGCACCGATGACCGGCAGTCTAGCACCGCCGCCCCCTTACGGAAGTGAACAGGGAAGTATCTTGCTCGAATCGGGACGAAGGAAGGACGAGTATTCCGGGTCATCATCCGGAGGTCAGGGTTTTACTCAATCCGTTCAGAGGTTCGCTCGCACCGGCCCAGCTTTAGAACCGGGACACTCGCGGACGAGAAGTGGAAGCTATAGAGTAGTCCCCCCGACGAGTCCGGGGCCGCAGCGCAGTCCTACCGACATCTCCCTTGCGCAGCTAGTCCCTTCAGATGAAGTGGGCGAAGCCAGCAGTAGTGTACATGCCACCGATGCTTCCGGGGACCACGTTGTAGATGTCGTCGGCTTAGGTCTCCAGGAAGCGGCTCACCCCCCGCCCGAATACACCAGCCCGGAACATTCGGACGAGGAAGGCTCAGGTAGCGGTTCGGAGAGCGATCGAACCCCGCTCATCAGGTCGGGTCGCAGTCGCGGAGCATCCGCAGCTACTCTACGGCCGAACAACCCGCCGATTCCCAGTTATAGTGACGCTGTTCGACAAGGCGCTGGTAGGGACAGGAGTCGTAGTGACAGCGCCATGCCGAGAGAAAATGGCGACTGAAGGGACTCAACCAGCCGCTTTGTTAATCAGCCAACCGGATACCGAGTTGCGTGAGCTGCTGTCAACGGTCCATATGCAGTTCACAGGCAACAGATCATCATTTACTATAACCATGGCACGGGGAGTTTACGGTCAGGAAAGGACAGCTTATTTCTCTCGTCGGTGTTTTTCTCAGGCTACGACAACATGGCATCGGGTCAGGCGACATACTTACATGATACCTTTATAAGTCCTTGCATTGTTTAGCGGTATGGGATAGGGGCGGCGGCTTAGGTTTTTGTTCGTCAGAGGGATCCCCCCCTAGAAAAGTCGAGGCAAACAGGGCTGGACTGCTCCCGGTATGAATTGGAGATACCTGGTATGCGACATATACACACCTCGCTCTCGGTCGATAGAAACATTTATTTATCGACCACCTATACTAGACACGCCGTGGTGACTACTGGTGCCAAGCTCGTTTTGGACCTGGCTGGAGGAAATACCTAGCTAGTGAAAGTGGTTGGTGATAGAGGTCGCTAGAGACAAAAAAAGCTATGTAAGCAAGTATGGGCAAGGGAGCAGATAGAAGGGAGCTCTTCTCGAGAAGCCGGGTAGACATGGTTCGTAATACCCGAACCCCAACATGTTGGTTCTCGGGTGACCTGTCGATATAGTGGTGCGTATGACAGCGACTACAGGTGCAACCAAACGAGTTTTCGTGTTTGTCATTGTTGGCTTCTGCGGAAGCAGATCCCAAATACGCGAGGAATCTAGATGACTTTGAATACGGCCTAACCCGGTTTTAACTGAAGGTCATGCTAGCACAACAACGCCCCAGAGCCTGAGGCCAACCTTGACTCGTACTCAGATATAAGTCGTTTAGGCCTCCTCCAACCCGTCTCGGGGCTCCAGAGCGCCCCAAAGACCCCGATTTGTACGTGGCCCCGACTTTCCTGTTGTGCACATCCTCTCGGTAGGGCGGTATCGACAGTCTTCTCTCTCCTTAAAGGCGCGCCGGCTATTTGCTTGGGGGGATCCAGAAGTCTAAGGTGAGTTATACATCAGGTTTGTTACTAGGTAGTTACCTAGTCACAATATCATACCAACTATTCACAGGAGCTCGCATGCTCCGTCCTGCGAACATGCGAACGAGGTAGCAGGCTGTCTCAAAGAGAAGCAGACAGCAGAGTGCATGGCCATCTGAATCGTACGAAGGCGCAAGACATGTACCAGCCACATTGGACGACATCAAAGTCTAACCCTAACTCCTATTATTAATCATTTCATGCTAGCCGAAATACGCATAGTTTATCAACTGATCCCAAACGTCAAGCGTCTATAGACACGTCAAGAAGTTGCCCAGCTTCCTCAGCACGACGGCCTGCTTCTCGGCCGGCGCCGTCGTCTTGTCCGTGGCATCGCCGACGCTGATGGAGGCGAAGCAGCCGTCGGAGTTGATGACCTCGTTCTCGGTGGGCAGGCGGTCGTCGCCGCAGGTCTCGACGTCGGGGGCGGAGATGATGCCGGGGTTGATGCGGCTGAGGACCCAGCGGAAGTCGGCGGCGGCGGCGCACTGTGCGGTGAGGCGGGGGAAGTTGACATTGAGGAAGACGTCGTCGGGGAGGTAGGGGGCGCCGGCGTCGAGGACCTTGTTGGTGAGGATGGTGGCGAGCTCGGCGTAGACGGCGCTGCGGGCGGGAACGGGCGACGTGTCCCAGCGCAGGGTGCCGGAGTCGGCGCCGGAGAAGGCGATGGCGGGGATGCGCTGGTTGCGGGCGGCCTCGACGGCGGCGCCGACGGTGCCGGAGAAGGGCACGGCGAGCCACACGTTCGAGCCCACGTTGGGGCCCGTCACCACGAGGTCGGGCCCCTCCTCGTCGCCCCACACCTGCGGCCCGAACGTCGACAGCCCGTACTTGACCGCCGTCACCGGGAACGAGTTGACCCAGTTCAGCCGCGGGTCCGTCGCGTTGCTGCCCACCGGCCCGCCGTTCGCCGGGCAGCTGTCGTACTGGCAGGGGCTCGTGCGGGGCTCGGGCTCCCGATCGCTCGAACCTAGGCGCTCGCGCGCGCGCGTTAGCGATGGACATCGCGAATCCGCGGCGGGCCGGGCTTACTGGAGCCGGACTTGTTCTCGGCGGGGGCGGAGAGGACCACGTCGTGGCCGGCGCCTCGCAGCGCGTCGTGCAGGGACCGGACGTAGAGCTCGGCCCACCCGTCGTCGTTGGACTGGAGGATGCGCGCTCCCCGGGCGGCGCCCAGGATGGAGAGCAGCGGCAGGACAGACTGGGTGCGCATGGTGGTTGCGTTCGTCGGCGATCGGCTGGTAAATTCGTAAGGCGGGAGCGACAGTGAGGTGTAGATAGACAGATGGAAAGACGGAAAGATGGACACACAGCTATAATGAAAAAACACTCAAGTCCCCCCCGGTAGCGGGCGACGTTCGTTTTATAACGACGCGAAACGCACCCACGCACCCCATCTATTCGTGGACCGGCCGTCCCCTTATGGAGATCTCCCCTAGCGATACCACCCCTACCACCCCTAAACCCTCCCCCCCCGGACCCCTGCCATCCCCTTGATCTCGGCTTCGCCATGGGCGACAAGCTGCGGGAGCCAATGGAGCGCTCAAGTCAGTTCGGGCGGTTTCCTGAACAGGCCAATTGCAACCCGAAACGGGGGCTCTACGGGGGATCGCCAAGCGCGTCAGGGCACATATTGTCCGGGCAGTCTCCCGGCAGCGACACGCACACACACCCCCTCCCCGGACGAGGCCGCCCAGCACGAAACTCCACAGCACGTGTGCCAAACAGTTGGCCGCGAAGTTCGACGCCTTTTAGCTACCTTCCTAGCGAGGCAGGTGGCCGCAGCTTGCTAGCAAGCTGCCGGTGCCGCTAGGTATGGGTATCGGCTAGTAATGCCTACCTGGGTCGGGCATTGCCGCACGACGATGCGCCGACTCGCTTGGGTCTCAGAAGTCTCCACGGCTTAACATCAAACCGCATGGCTATTTGCGGTAGCGACAGTCACGCCCCGTGTATGAGTAGGCATGGTTTGCCTTAGGCTCGGTGTCGAACGTCCCCATTCGAAGAGGGCGTGGCCACGTCCGCTCTCGAGCCTTCTGGCCCCTATTCGCCTGCGGGTGGGGAGGATCGCCTTGCTAGTTGCCTGCCTCGGTGAGCACGAGGAAGTGCGATTTCGGCGCCGGCGCGTCCTGGTAGACTAGTAGGCGCGACACCTTCGCCGAACCGGACCGCGCAAATAAGCTACCTTTTATCGATAGGCCCCCGCCTCGAGGCTCGCAAGTCTCGACCGAACAGCGCGACGGACCGGCTTCCGTCGGGAAATGCGAGGAGCGCCGTCCCAGTCGCCAGTCACCCTCCCCGTCCGCAATGGTCAGACAGACATTCCTCGCCCCCGCGACCTCTTCGTCCGCGGCGAAATCCCGCTCGGGGGTCGCGCGGCCGCCAACACCGCGCGGAGAGGCCAGCCTCGACCAGAGTGAGAGCTCGGCATCCGTAGGCGCGCCGCTGCTCCTCCTCCCCGACGGCTCCGAAGTCGAGCTCGACCCGCTAGGCGGCGCGCCGGTGCAAGGGCCGCGACGGGGTGCGTCGCGAGCCGCGCCTCGACGTCTGGCGGTCCCGCGGCCCAGAACGGGCACCCAACGTATCATGCAGCGGGAGGGCACCAGCCATCCATCGGCTGCCGGACCTCGGCCCACACGCGCGGCTCATTTGCCTCCCCCCCCCTTTTTTTTCCCGGCCGTGTGCAGCAGAGAGACAGGGAGGGGTATTCTAGGGAGCAGTGCGCATCACGCGGCGATGCTTCCGGGGTGTCGCGAGACCTGAATGCTGAAAAGGACGGGTGCAGGGGCTCTGTAGGGATCGACAAGGTCTCGGCGCATGTGGGGATCGCGGAGTCTCTCAACGAAGAGGAAGTATGTGGGTGTGTGGCAGGAGTTAATAACACCCAACTGGAGACTCCGGCTAATTGCCATTATATCGCTATGACTCGCTCGAGTTTCGCTGCACCTTGTGTCCGTCGTCGTTCCGCTGGAAACTACCAGCTTACGCCTAGCCAAAGACTGATTTTAGATGGGTTACGATCATTTGCCATGCCTCCTGCTGCTGCTCCAGTCCCAAGCTAGTATAGTAATGTGTTTGGCACTACGTGTCTCAGCATGTAGGCCTTGCTTATCCGGCAAGATGAGACCGGTGCGTCCTCGCTATAGCCGCAGCTATCGTTCTCTTGGGAAGTTGTGCGAAGAACGCATCAATACTAGTCGAGGGTCTATATTTACAGTTAAACTCGTTCCTCTGTTCATTATTCTGGAACTCGGGTTGTTGGTACCAGCAGCACTTACCATAGGCCGCGACCCATCCAACGGCTAATATGTCTTGGATAACTAACAACGCCTTGAGGCCATTTTTAGACCGTGTCGACTTCACGTGTTTCTCAATAGCACCCACTAGCAACTATCTTTAAAATAAAGAGGATCATTACAGCTTAAAATGCTCCCCGAATATTGCTCCTAGTCGTTTCTATCTTTGTAAGCGGCGTGGTGGTGCGGAGAGACACGTCTCCTTAGAGGCTCGCGTGTCGTTAGTACTTCCTCATATTCATTTTACCTAGGCCTATCCTTCCCTGTTCCTGTTCATAGATTTCCTCTTAACAACCTTGCGACGCGGATAGCAATAGACCCCTCATCATCTTCACCATACTAGCCTGCATGGATCCGTCCCCGTGAGACTGAACTCGGCATATCGTCTTCCATCTTAAACCATCTGACGGGCGTATCCTTATAACTCAAGTGCGCGTTACGAACCGGAAATTTCCTTAGCTTATTAGGCTGCGGTATATTTTCGCTACAGGAACCTACTGGGGCCGTATGGGGCCCCATTAATGTATTTCGTCTCTGGAGATCTCGGTTATTACCTCTCATCTATATTAATATTCCTTATGTTGCTTTCCACTGAACAAAGCTACTGAAGACGTATACCTACGTAATACACCCCTTAATTAGACTAGCGAGAGCGAATCTAATTGCCATCATATGCTCGCGATAGTTATTTAAAGCATTCCGCCTTGTTTACAGCAAGGTTAATATCCAGCTTCGGAGTAGACGATAAGAAAGGCGTCCCGATAGTGCTTATAACTCCGGTGAACTACGAGCTTGATAATATGTAGATTGGGTTCGTGTTAGAAGGAGTCTCCATCTCCATGTTAGCCAAGAGAGCATAAGACGAACTTACTTAAACCATATGCTGGTGTACACGTTTTTCTTTTCTTCTCGAGGAGGGGCCGGGGTCAATAAAACTCTCTTCAACTCAGACAGCATCACTTACTCCTGAGCACCCTTTCATTCTTTGTCCCCCCTCGCGTTACTCCTCCCCAAGCTAGTTGATAGTAACAGGATTGGTTCGCACATATGATAGATTGGCCTTGTTTCGCTCTCTGTGGGTTAGCCCATGATGTCAAAAGACGGGTTCAGTCCAGGCTAAGTTGAGTCAAGTCAAGTATAGCCGATCAACTTCTCGAATGGTACTGCCAATGAAACATCACAGGTCGGGTCACTGTTGGCTTAAGAGTAGGCCTGTGGGAATACCATCCCGAATGGCAAGACGTATTACCCCTCTACCAATCTAGGATAAGGTATAATGCGGTTGGCTCGGTGCGATGGTGGCGCAGCACATGTTCCTCGAGTGTCCCGAAATAGTCAGGTCGAGATGAAACGCGCCTGTCAAGGCCCTGCGGCCCTGGTAGACTACCCCATCATCACTAGTTCAACCTGTCCCGAGAACGAATCCGGAAACATATCATATATGCGACCACAGCTTCGACCGTTGTTATCAACCAACACACCTTGCGTAGCTAATAAACGGTCGTATCTCCCAATGGATACCCATGTCTGGAAACTGGCAAAAACCCTCGACGGCGGGTCGCTGTCTCGGCCACATATGTAGGTCTTTGCGGGAATAATTCTTCTGGGTGTTCGACATCACGTTGTAATACACCCATGCCTCTGGTTCCCTCATATAACCGCGCGCCTCCAGTACCACTATTCCGTCCGCTACCCCAGGAACGGGTATCGGCTCGTCAGCGCGAGTGAAGCCGCCAAACCATCTGCCAGCCTCTCTTTCTACTATATATACCAAACACACCGGAGTCTGGCAGTACTGGGAGACTGGTTTCTGCAACAACTCATCCATTTATCCGACAAACCGCAGACAACATGGCCGATGCCGCACGCAGGTTCGTGCAGGGTATCTCCAAGGAGCATGGCTACCTTGGCGAGGAGGTGTATGCGAGAATGGATTCGGAAACTCGCCGCCAGGTCGAAGAGGCTCTCCTTAAGAAAGACGAAATGATAGGCGCAAGCGTCACTACGTATGTCCACCCTTTCTCCGTACATATAAAACGAATACACGACTGACCTGAAGCTAGATTGGCCAAGAATCTATATTCTAAGGATGTGCGATTCTTGTTTGAGCTATTGCAAAATGCAGACGACAACAACTTTTCCCATGCGACGGCAGCCAATCATGCCCCATACGTATCCTTTCGTGTTTACAAGGATCGTATTGTCGTTGACTGCAACGAGGACGGGTTCACCAAAGCAAATATCCAAGCTATATGCAACGTCGGCCAGAGCTCCAAGACGGGGGCTCAAGGCTATATCGGAGAGAAGGGGATCGGGTTCAAATCGGTATTTAAAGTCGCTTGGAAGGTCCATATACAGTCTGGCCATTATTCGTTCACATTCACACACCGGAAAGGAGACTCTGGAATGGGCATGATTTCCCCAGAGTGGTACGAGACAACGGAAAGACTAGCACAGCCGTTGACTAGGACGACCCTATACCTGCACGAAAGCAACGGTACTGGCAACAATGATACACAACGGCAAAGTATTCTACATCAGCTCCATACTCTTCAACCTGCGATGCTACTCTTCTTAAATAAGTTGAAGAGTATTCATGTGCATATCCACGACCAGGATGGAGAAGGGACATCATCGTTTATTCTGTCCAAGGACGCCCCTATTATCAACAAGGCTGACCTTAGCAAAGTCTACATCGATGGTGATGGAAAGACGACGCATACGAACCAAGCCTATCGTGTCGTAAGGGGGATTGCACGTAACCTCCCTCGGAACGAAAACAGGGAGTACACTACCCAGGAAGAGCGTTCGAAAGCATACGGCGACGCGCCAGTTGTCCTCGCATTCCCTCTCACGAATACCGGCCAGCCGGTGATTGAACCTCAAGAAGTCTTTGCATTCTTGCCCGTTCGGCGAGTCGGGTTTAACGTAAGGTGGAATAACCTACATAGAATCGGCATGAGGCTGACTCGAGATTCTAGTTTTTGATCCACAGCGACTTTGTCACCCAAGCGAACCGAGAGGATATCGTAACTACTTCACCCCGGAATTGTCAGCTGCTAGATACTTTGGCAGAGACATTTATTATCGGGATGAGAGAGTTCTGTCAAGACGCGATTCTGAAGTATCACTGGATGAGATACCTTCCAAAGTTGTCAGACTATCCCTGGGATCCGTTCTGGAGGAAGCTTGTCGACAAGATCAAGGATCGTATCACCGATGAAGACATCCTATTACTGCGTGACGGCACAACCCTAAGAAAGATATCCCGGGCCGAGCGACTTTACTCCACATACTGTGATCAGCTCGGTTTGCCTTTATTCGACGATCTTTCGGGCAATTTAGCCCGTTATCTTTCGCAGTCCTATGGTTGGAAGGACCTGGATCTTTTGAGCGATTATGGTCTTGATTATATGGCTCAAGACCAGTTCATCGCAAGGGTACGAAACGATTTATCGAGTCCAACGTCCAGAATGCGTTCCCCTTCGTCTAGTGATGATTGGCACGAACGCGCAGCCCGATGCCTTAGCTTATCATTCCGAAAGGGGTGGACCAACAGAATAGCCGAGACTAAAGAGTTGAAGCTCATCCCGTTGATCGATGGATCTTGGGTTGATTCGAGACATGACGTATATTTCGCGGTGACGTCAAACTGTCTGAAAATTCCTACGGATCTTGGACTCAGCCTCGTTCACCCCGATGCAGCAAAATTGGCCGATCGAAAACAGTTATTCCGGAACCTTGGCGTGAAGTACGCCTCCGTTGAGGATATCCGCACCCGTATCTTTCAGAGATATAAGCCCGGGATCGAAATCAGTATCGATACTTCACGCTCTCACCTCGAGTTTCTGTATCGGACGTGCGATAGCAAATCCTTTTTATTTTTTCCTGGGATGTTTTTGTATAACACGCTCGGGGTGTGTCTTCCGACAGAGGGTAACGTATTCTACTTGGTAGACAATGCTCGGTACGGCCTCTGGGAATTGCATCTTAAAGTCGATGAGAACAAACGCCCTCGCTGGCCTGGGATTCATTTTCTATCCGAGAAGTATTTCGAAAACCCACCGAATGAAGAACGTTTACCTTGGAAAGCTTGGCTGCATTTGTACCTAGGGGTCCGCAAAGTCCCACGACTCGTGGTCCCGCACACTGCAGAGCTCTCGGAGGAATGCCTGTTCGTCGCGGAGCACCTGTCTTCCGAGCTTCTAGGATTCCTCAGATATAGTTGGAGTCATCGGGATTTTTCCGTGACACCTGAGCATATGGATATGTTGAAAGCTCTGGAGGTTCCTTGCCTAGGCGGCCAACTCGAGATCCTCTCCAAGACATATCTCCCCTCGACCGCAATATTCAAACGACATAACGAGTTCATGCGACTCGGAGAATTCTTCCCAATTCTCGATATCCGCGACGACTTCGACACATTATCGCAAGATGATTTCTTGCGCGAGATTGGGGTGAAAGATATTAGTCCCGATCTAGACTTCTATCTTGATGTTCTTTACTATATCAAGCTGAGCCATCCAGAGCCGTCCGACCTCGTCGACTCTTCGCGTATCCTGCGCTTATATCTACGCATCCTAGCGGAGTGTTTAGATCCCAGCGATGAACATACGCGAGAAGAGAGAAAAACTAGAGTAATGTACGTATGCGTCATCTCCTAAATCTGAGCTTAGTTCGGAGCTGACATACTGACGTTTACACTAGAAAATTCTTCGAGGAGGAAGAGCTCATTTTCGTGCCGTCCTGGGGGGATAGAACCCCTGAATGGGCTTCACCAGATGATTGTCTTCTTGATGGCCCGATTGGTATGAGATTTAGGCATTCGATCTTCCCGTTATACCATGAATGCTTTGTGAAGTCAGGCCTCGACTTTCAAAACTTGAAGAAATTCCTGAGTAGTATTTTGGCCATCAGACGGACCGAGTTGGGAAACATTATGAGTGAGCTTGGGCTTCTCAAAGCATTCGACCCCGAGCAATCAGAAGTCTTGGAGCTGTACAAGTATCTCGACAAAATGCGCTGTTCGGATGAAGCCTGGAAGTCTATCAAGTAAGCGCGCTAGCCTCCTAAGAAAGCTACGGAAACTAACGGGCACACAGTAGTGAGGGTGTATTTGAAAATGAGGCTCTGATTTTTGCGGACAGTGGCCTTCAAAAGTGGTATAAGCTGTCTCAATGTCTATGGTCTGCTCCGGCCTCGATCCGAGGCAAAATAAATTTGAGCACCGTGTACGACGATGGTATGAAGGGCTTTTTTGTTAACAAGCTTGGTGTACGCATGCTGGACGCCAATATCGTCTACAACGAATTGATGGGGTTGGAACCAGACGAAGCCGCGGTCGAGCGTGTCAAAGATCTCCTTTGGACCCTCAACTCACAGCTTGAGTTCGGGCCTCCAGAAGGTTCGGCCGATATCTTGTTACAACATCATATCTTGCCAATCCGACATGTCGGCGGTAGTGTAAGCCTAGATTCATCGAGGGCGGAGTTCGCCATTGTCGACCGAAAGACACTTGACGACATCTTCGGTCGGAGACTAAAGGTTCTGGATTTCACCGCTAATGAAATTCACAAACTGGAAAACTTCCTGAAGTGGGCTGGCCTCGAGAGTCGTTATCTGTCGCGATTAGTCAAAGAGTCATCGGTGCTGGATTCGAGCGACAAGCTACCAATCTCAGACCCCACGCAAGACATTTGTAAGAGGGCTTATGGGCTTCTCCGGTACGATAACATATCTATCCAACCCCCTATGAGAGCCCCTGAACTAACGTATTCTTAACAGCATCGCAGTTCATTTCAATAGTTCTCTCGTTAAAGGAGACGGCCAAGAGCTTTACGATTTGCTTCGAAATCTACGAACCTGGGAGACACAGCGAATATCCACAACACTAAGCGTCTCGCTTGGTGGACAAACCGTAATCGAGGAGATCGACAAAGGCGAGGTCCATATTGACGACAGTGACGGCCTAGAAATATATGTACCGCATGACGAGACGCGACGAGAGGATGCCTATATTTCCAGTCTCCCGAATCGTCTGGCGAAATGGATGGAGATTGGCCCTGAAACACGCACACATGCGGCGTCGCTCATCCATGGCGTCTTACTCGTCAAGGTGTCACAGGTTAACCGGTACCTCAATGGTCATGGTATTATCGAAGTTACCGTTCCCGAACAAGTAGAACAGAATGGTGTCACTGGAGTTTATCAGTCCACTTTCACCCTTCCTTCTACTCCAGCATCTGCGAAGATATCTACTTCTCGAAGAGAAGTCTCACCTTTATCAGAGCCAAGAACGCCCCTTTCCGACGGCGAAGAAACCTGCTTTGGACAAACACCTCCGTCCGCCGATCTTTATACTCCTAGCCTGGGCCCGGGCAGAACTCGCTCTCCACTCGTACGAAAGAACTCACCGCCTGATCCGTATATTACGCAGCTATTTACGAGAGAAACACCCAAGTCCCAAGAGTACCGCGCGCTTTTGTTACAAGTAGCATCGATCGCGAGGAGAAGCCGACTTCTAGACGGGACAATGAATCTTTCCGGACTCCTGGATGGACTCGTTGAGGATCCTACCGTTGGAGGTAGATCCTTCAATAAGTATGATCTATTCGGCGATGAGCCCCAATTCGAATGTAATAAGAAAGTCGGCGCCGCAGGAGAACTATTCGTAAGTTTTGTGAACAAGCACCGTCTCGCCAAAGATTCTAACCACGTTTCTTAGGTATTTGAGCTTCTTTCATCCATGAACCCGTCTCTTGGGGGATTCGGCCGAGCGAATTGGACGAGCACTATCCGAAAGTATGCGACGGCTCATCCGGAGTACGCGGATATGGATAGCTGGAGGGGGATCGAAACCTCCGACCTTCAGTATCAAGACGATGACGGCACACTAACCAACGCTCTCATAAGCAGGGGGTATCTACAGAGAAAGTGGAAGAATACTCGGCCGCGATTTTACATCGAAGTGAAGACGACGGCAGGACCTTGGGATACCCCTTTCTATATGAGCAATGCCCAATGGACTAAGCTGAAGGATCTATCTAGGGATGGCTCTGTGTGTGTCATATTCCGCGTCTACAACCTATATAGTAGTCGGATTGGCCTAAGCATCTACGCCGACCCGGCCCGGCTTGCCGAGGAAGGACGTCTAGTGTTCACAGCCGATAGGTGGACAGTCAAACCCACCACCACATGATCGTCAACATCAATACGAGCGAGACCTCATCTTCCCAATGTATTGTCATTGCAATGTACCCAGTCCTCGCGCGAGATCAAAGTGGAGTAGGACGGGGATCTATTTAGCCGCGATCGAATACGCGCGAATTCGATCGAGTTAGCTGTGATAGTATGACGCTCTCAAAGCTGTATTATTATATACCCATTCGTTACATTCCCGCAATTCAGCCCACGTAAACTCGTTCCGATTTATTCGTGTATAGTATAGGACTTCTCCCTTTAAATCCATCACCGCCCAAGGTACTGGCAGGATTCTATACTCTGTCGTATTTTCCTTGAGAATACTAAGGACGTCGAGGCTCGCCGACTTACGGGGAAACAGTTGTGACGACGAATGAAGGGATTCGTCTTCACCAAATATTTATAATATTTATTTTAAAAAAAAATAAATCACAGGAGTATAAGAGGCGCTATTCGCGATACGAAATGCGGTATATTACAGACATGGTCGTGCCGCATGTTCGATATTACTTCACGGCCCCGTCATGCGCCATGTGTGGCAGTAGCGTTTGGTATTTCCACGCAAATGTGTTACCTACCCAAAGGCATGTACGGAGTCTTCAGTGCCAACATCCAGTCGCTCTTCAACGACGAACATTGCGGTGGATCCGTTTCCGACCATGTCTTGTTTTGGTATTGAGGGTTTGGAACACAGGGGCTCATTGAAAAGAAACTCAAGAGCAAGGAGAACTACGTCGCGCAGATCAGAGAGGCATTCGGGAAGATGGTGTATACGCTCAGGTGACAACGCGGAGTGCAAGGAGGGATCAACAGTCTGTGCCGCCAGAGGCGTTTAAGGGTGGGTATTTTCATTGCAGAGAGATGCTTGGTGAGTGGATGGCTAGCACAGTGAATGATGCTGGTAATCTATCAGATCAAGCTCTGCGGCCAAGTTCAAAGTTCTCGCAATCTTCTCACCTATTCGAATTTCTCCCCATAATGAGACCTTTGAACGAGGCCTACCTTCGCAAGCGAATAGTAGAACATGTTTCACGTTTGGGTTAGCGGATCGTATACTCTAGGCCTTACTGGATACGTTGATCAATAGTTTTCAGCGTTGCATACTATCTGTCTGGATTCAGAAGAATCACTTCGTAATCATTAAAGCTTACATCTCGATCAAAGCCTTACGCAGTTTAAGGTAAAGATGCTATATTGTAATAAAATGGCAAGAGTAAAAGAACTGGTGCCTAAGCGTAAATTAATATACTATCAGAATAGGTATGGATCTGTAAGCATTCACACCACTACAGCCAAGGCTGAGGAATCAACCATAATGAAGCCATTGTGAACAATATTAAGCTAATGTTAATTTAAGGTGCCTTAATCGTGTTCCTTCTCGCCTACGTTCCCCTGCTACCTCTGCGCGGAACCTATACTACCATACGTCGCTCGAGTCAGCTGCGTGACAATAGAGTTTACAGGAGATCGGCCTAAAGGAAGAAGACCAAGGGTTTCCTTTTTAGCCGGCTTAACAGCTACCCTAGTTCTCGCAACCATTCCTCCAACAGCCAAGCGGAGCCGTAAGGGCATTCCCACTTTCTGTGATACATACGTGGTTCCTGCGGTCGTGACAGACCGGAACCCTGCAGACAGGTGCCCCGAGAAAACCTCCCTGGCCGTCAACGCTAGATATTAAACTTAATGGTCCCTTATCCGGGTTATCTAATAAGCCTATACGGTAAACGTAAGAAGTTCGTCGTTAGAATATCGATTCTCTAGGTCCACAGTTAGTCAATAAAAATTCCGAGGGATTAGAAAAGCTCATTAATAGCCTTGATAATGCCTTTACAACGGCTAATTGTATCTTAGTAGTCTTCTATACACCTGCCCGTGTTCACACCCCTTTAACCTAATATCAACTGAACGACGAACCCGTTTGGACCTTCGTCCGCCTTGGCCCATTCGCTGAAACCTCCGGGAAGACGGGCAGGTTAAGCGCCTCGTTGTCCCGGTTAAGCACCTACTACCGTCTGTCGTGCCCTTCATCTCTCCTCGCGATGGGGACTGGGAGGCAGATCCACGCTAGCCGGTAGGGTGACAGCAAAACTCTACTTAATGGTTTTGTATATCTTTAGGGCTCCAGCGGCAAGGATTACCGCGAGCATGGATAACATTAGCTGGACGACGAGAAGCTGGTCGGGTATGTTCTCACACAAGATGTCTGTGATCTAAATTTCATGGACTTATCTTCCGGAAATTATATAGAAACATGACGTGCAACATGGAATAGTGGCAGAAAAGAGAACCCTTGCATTGGCTTCAACGTCCGGGTCGCCCAAAACAACTCCCTGTCAAAACCCTCGCGAAGAGCCGACAGTTATGTTTTCATCCTCTCAGCTGCGAAGCACCGCCAACTTAACTAAACCATATTCATGGCGCACAAAAAAAAAACTCACCCTACTTAGTGTCTGTTCAGGCGATAGGTCATCTGCGGCTCTAGGAGGGCAATATTCTGGGAGCATTATAGGCATATTCTGACCCGTTAAGTTCTACTTGTTCAATGTTAATACTAGGAAGATAACTCTACCGGCTCAGCTCTACGGCATTGCATACATATAGACGACTAGCAGCCGGAAGTTGAATCCGATGGCTTTAACGAAGCTATTTTATGCTAAGGGTTAAAATCGCCCCAGGCTTCCGTGCTTATAGGTATTCTATTAGCCCGCGTATTAGCCTGTTGGCGATGCCGAAAGGTGACTATTAGGGCAACTCGGCCGCCAAACCCCCTTCATATATAACCATTAGAAGACTTCTCAACCTATCAACCCTAATACTTTGAGATTTACAACAGCGTAGGGTACGAATTCTTCTCCCATTGACCCGGAAACTAACAGAGGGCCGCGGCTAAGGAGCTCGATTCCATGTGTCCATAAGAGGCAGTAGTCTCCGTCATTCGACGGGACCCGCCTATTTTATGCCGCTAATGTCGACGTTCGCCTCATCCGCGTCTTCCGGCGCATCGACGGCTCGTGGCCGGCAGTGCGTGCGTGCATGGCGGAACGCCACGACAGCATGCTGTTATCCCTGCTGAAGGTAGGTAACCTCGACGCCTAGTCCTCGGCGACGCTTCCCGACGAATCTGAGTGGGTGAGGCGCGGGCGTGTGCTAGATCCGCCCACATTACAACTAGGGCCTAGAGATGAATAGGGGACTGCGCCGTCGATGCCCGGCGAGACCTCGCGGGAGAGTAGTAATATCTAGGCGCATGCTGGATGGACGGCTAGCCAGAGAGTGTGTGTGAATTGCATGTGACAGAACCGGTCTAGAACGTGTTGGCAGGCAAGCTGTCCCGAAAGGGACACGCCTACAGTACCCTATTCGGGAATATGGACTTAATATACCGCTCCCTACGATATCACATACTCAGTGGCTTCCTGACAGCGATATCCGTCTCGCTCTCGCTCCCGGGAGCGAGTGCCTAGCTAGTGGCTCGGGCCTCCTGAAGTTACCTCTTTTCTCTCTCTCTCTCTCTCTCTCCGAGCCCACCGAACTCCCGTCTTACTGCACGGGGGAGAAAGGAAAAAAAAAACCGTAGTAATGCCGCGCACTTGGCTGTAGATATCACAGCCATGCGTACACACGTGAATACGCAACATGTCGACGAAACGGGTGATGGGGCTTGGCCTGTCCACTGTGGCGGACAATCTCGATGCGAGGTGAGATGGGATGGGGATCCGAATCCTTCCGCTGACAGGATCTGCGCCTACCGCGGAGCCCGCGGCATGCTCGGTACTTGCCGGCGTACCTACAACGTGGGCGCAGGACGAGGGGGGAGCAGGATCTGGCCTGCGCTGCGTCGGCGTGTCGCGTCCTGCGCAGCAGTTAATATCTAGGCATGCATGCGTGCACGTATTATGGGCGCAGATAGGTTATGTAATACGGATCATAATATGCTGCTTCTTTTCCAATATTTGCACGTCAGCGAACATGTCCTCTAGACGAAATCGCATGGGGATTGGAGAGCGGGAGAGAGGCACTTCGCGTCTGGCTTCCCCCAAATCGAGGGAACCGACAGGTGGCTTGGCTTATGGGGGATTGCAAGAATAGGAGGCATGCCTCGTAAGAAGGCCCAACGGCGACTGGCTTATAACGCGACGAGCCCTCCCGCCGCCGTCATTAAAAAAAAAGTCAGCTCACTCGCGTCCTCACTCCGTTCCTCGCGGGAGAAGCGATCGTCGGCGCGCCCCCAATACCCCGTCGTTCTCCTCGCTGCCGCATTGTCGCTTTTGTTGTTGTTGTTATTGTTGGGGGAGGAGGGAGGTACTCGCGTAGAGGCAGCCCTGATTGGATTCCCACCCACCCACTCGCGAACCGGGATGACATAGCAATGCCTCCCCCCTTTCGGGTCCGCGCGCTGCCTCTCGGACGAAGATACGCGTCCCTACCTGCTATCGATGTACTGGGCACGCTTCCCAAGGACCCCGAACAAGTGCTTGGACTCGCCGACTAGGCAGGCAGCGCAGAACAGGGAACGGGGGGAGGTTACATACCCACGTAAGACGGTGAGGCTTAGACTCGTGGTCGGGCAGGCAATAATACTGGTCAGACAGCGGGCAGAGTGGTGGTATATGCTAACTACCACAACTCCGACGACTCCGACGACTGCAACTACATAGATATGTACGGCTGCTACGTGGATAGGGAGTTGGGTATGTATCGACCTAGTAGGCTATTAGCATCCCCCCGTTTCGCGTCGCTCACTCGCTCACTCGCGCCAGGTGGTGGCCGAATATTACTGCTCATGTAGTATACTTACTATATTCGCTTGCATGCCTAGGCGGCACGGGGTTATTCGCCCTCCCTCACCGGCGATGCCTTTTGCCTGCCTCGAAGCGCAGTTCGGCGTCGGCAGGCATCGGCGGACCCAAGACCGCGCGCAATTCGCCAGCGATCGTCCAGGCAGTGCAGCCGCCCGATCCGGCAATCTGGAGGTGAGAAGCCTAGACTCTCTCCCTCCCCCCCTCCACGCCCCAAGCCCGCCGCCAATCAAGCCCTTGGGGGAGGGGAGGAGGCCTTGTTTCGGTCGTCCGCTCTCGCCCGGGTCTTGGATTATGCGCGCCCCTACCTACCTACCTACCTACCTACCTACCTACCTACCTAGATCACCGCCGTTCAGGGATCCGCCATCCCACATGCGCCGAGAGCACTGCAGCAACCTTCCGCC